TGTTCCATGGTACTTTTATCTGAAACGTAAAAACAAAGTTTATAACATCAATCTTTAATCTCAATAAACCCAAAAAAAGAACACATGATTGAATACCGACCCTTTATTATTCGTCAGAGAAAGATCAAACCGGACTAATTAAATTATGGGCATTTTGAACTAGGAATAGCCCTTCTATATATCAATGATCAATTTTGATTTTCTTTCATGATCTGACCATTAGATGTGGGCACATGGTTTCGTGGGGGTTTTTTTTTTTGGTGTTACTTTTCGCAGTTCAGAAATTATTCACTTAGAGTAGGCCTGGCACCCGACCTGAATTTTTTTAGCCTAACCTGAACCCGACCTGTTTAGTTAAACAGGTTAAGATGTTCAATCCTAACCCGACCTTTTAAAAATCAGGTCACCCGAGTTCGACCTATTAACCCGAAAAACAAAAAAGAGGCGAAAAAAAAAATCAAAGCCACCTGCACAAATCCTAAACAGAAAAAAGGAAAAACTTTTTACACAAACTCAATCCATCAAAATAAAAAACCAGTATCATTATTTGGATCCAAGAGATCGGGAAACTACTTGACACAAGCCATCGAGGCATTAATTAACAGAATGTAAAATTTGTTTTCAAAAAAATAATCCACATCTCCCGTAGCAATAATAAACAATAATCTCAACAATAATCTTTCAGGTTCATTTTGCTTGTATTCGTGCAGAGAAGGCATAGACTATTTCTTCAAAGCTGCAATGGGTGAATTCAGGTAAGAAACACAAAAAAAAAAAAAAAATCAAAAAATATGAGAGATAAAAATCCCCAAACATCAACGATGGAAGAAATAAAAAAATAATCCAGAGTATGAAGAAATAAAGAAATATAGATTGGTTTGATTAATGAAAGCACAAGATTAAAGATAAAAAGGATGGAAGAAGTGAGGATTTTGAAGGATTGAAGTATAGATACTGTGGTGATGGTGAGGAGGGAATGTTAATGAGTTGAGGAGGAGCGGCGGAAAAAGTGAGGAGAAATAGGAGATGAAGGTAGATTTTAGGGTAAGGGAGGGGTAACTGAGTAATTATAGTCCTAACTTTTTTTATTAACTACTCAATTATACGGGTTGACGGGCCACCCAAATTCTCAAATGAATAACCTGAACCCGACCTGAAAATTAAACAGGTCAACCCTAACCCGACCTGTTTATTAAACAGGTAAAAAATCTCAACCCTAACCCACTTATTTTATGTCGAGTTCGTGACGAAATTCCCGGTCGTGTCAAAAATTGCCACCCCTAACTTATAGTTCGTTTTGGACAATTTTGCCCCTAAACTCTTTCTTCTTCTCCAACATACACTAATTATATTAATTACAAATAAATTTAACTAAATCAATTGAACAATAACACAAAATATAAAACTAAAGTAATTATACAAAAAAAAATAATGATAATAATATAAAAATAACACAGAAAATTAGAAAAAAAAAAAAGAAAAGGTAAGGGTGTTGACCGGTGAATAAACCGACCAACCTTCAAAGGGTGGCCGGCCTGACAACCGGCCATCCTAGCAAAAAAAAAATTAATTTTTTTGTGTAATTGTTATTAATTTTTTATATTTACTTTAAGTTTTATTTTTTGTGTTATATTTACTGATTTAATAACATTTTTAATTTAATTAAATTTATTAGGTATAATTAATTTATTTTAATAATTAGTGTAGATTAAGTGGAGATATTAGGTATAATAATTTTTTTATTATTATTATAATTTATTTGTTATATTCAAATAAATAATGCACTAGATACTATATTAAAATTATATGATAAATACATTTTGAGTAGGTTTTTGTAATTATACATGTGGTATTTAGTTAGTATTAATTTGTAGGCTTTAATATTAATTGTTTACGTAAATAAATTAGCTATTTTTTTATATTTTGAGTAAATTAATTACAACTAAATAACACAACATACACTAATTACATTATTATAAATAAATTTAACTAAATTAATTGAATAGTAACACAAAATATAAAACTAAAGTAATTATGCAAAATAAAAATAATGATAACAAAAAAATAATATAAAAATAACACAAAAAATTGAAAAAAAAAAAGGTACTGTCCAGGGCGGCCACCGGCCAACCTTCAAAAGGTGGCCGGTAGCAAAAAATTTTTTTTTTCAATTTTTTAAATTTTTTTTTGTGTAATTGTCATTATTTTTTTATATTTACTTTAGTTTTATTTTTTGTGTTATATGTACTGGTTTAATAAAATTTTTAATTTAATTAAATTTACTAGGTATAATTAATTTAATTTAATAATTAATATAGATTAAATGCAGAAATTAAGTATAATAAATTTATTATTATTATTATTTATTTGTTATATTCAAATAAAGAATGCACTAGATATTATATTAAAATTATATGATAAATATATTTTGAGTAGGTTTTCATAATTAGGTAAGGGTTCATGGGCAAAATTATCCAAAACGAACTGTAAGTGAGTAATTTGTAAACTGCGAACAGCAATTCAGTTTTTTCTTTTGGGGGGAGGGGGGGGGAGGGGCTTGCGGAGGAGGAAGGAGCTAAGTTTATGTTGTTGAAGGAAGGGAAAGAAAAAAGAATCAGATATGGGCAATTGGTTCTCACTTTTCCATAGTAGTGATCCAGTGTGTTGCGGTGTATTTGTGCTATGTGTTACCTTTTTTTATCCTACGGTGACAATTGCGCTTGTGTTATCTAACAGTTGTATTATTTAACTGAACCATTCAGTTGACTGGACTGTAGTCGCTATATATATATATCTATAGTATTATACTAAGAGAGAAACTAGAGAAAGAAAATAAAAAAGAATTCTAAAAATGCCACATAGGATAAAATCCTATGTGTCATTTTTCTAATGGTTGAGTCAAAAAATACTTACAACAATTATACTAATAATACTTCAAATTTTATGTAAATAAAGTTTTATCAAATGGCATTTAAAACTATAGTTTAAAATAGAAAAATAAAAATTAATTAAATTTAATGGACAAAATTAATGAACATTAATGCACCAGAATTATTCCCTTCCAAAAATAATCCCCAAGTAGTATTAATTGATTGATTTAAATTGTAAGTTCAAAGGGATAAGGCATTTGTTATTTTCAACATTAATTAATCGGGATTTTTTACCCCAGCCAATTCGAATAAAAAAAATCCCAGTACAAAATAATCCATAAAATCACTACTTGATTGATTTAAAACCTAAGTTTATACTAAGAGAGAAACTAGAGAGAGAAAACAAAAAAGAATTCTAAAGGTGCCACATAGGATAAAATCATATGTGTTATTTTTCTAATGGTTGAGTCAAAAAATATTTACAACAATTATACTAATAGTACTTCAAATTTTATGTAAATAAAGTTTTATCAAATGGCATTTAAAACTATAGTTTAAAATAGAAAAATAAAAATTAATTAAATTTAATAGACAAGATTAATGAACATTAATGCACCAGAATTATTCCCTCCAAAAAATAATCCCTCCCAAAAATAATTCTCAATTAGTATTAATTGATTGATTTAAATTGTAAGTTCAAAGGGATAAGGCATTTGTTATTTTTCAACATTAATTAATCGGGATTTTTTACCCCAGCCAATTCGAATAAAAAAAAATCCCTCTACAAAATAATCCCTAAAATCACTACTTGATTGATTTAAAACCTAAGTTCAACGTGCGGGAAAGTGAGAATTCTTTAGTGGTTAAAAACTAATTAAATTTAATTGAAAAAGACTAATCAACATTAATGCAATGGAAGTCATTTCTCCACCAATCTTATCCCTTAATCAACGTGATGTTATCATCTTTATTCCATAGTTATGAATTTTGCTTTAGTTACTGGTTATGATATCTCATTCAGACATTCACTATAAATATCCACTTCGGTCTAACTCTAACATGTACAATGACAACCGGTGAAACACTGAAGCGAAGTATCTTATATACTTTACAAAACATCTTTGCGGCGACGACCTCACTCCGATCATGTTTTATTTAACATGTAAGGTGTCTCTTTCTCCAATTGTTTGCAATCTTGATTAACATGCATTTTTAACCGTGTAGACATAAATTGCTTTGATTTATATGACATGTAACATCTGATTTATTATTTTGGTAGTTTTTTTTACTTTTATTTGTATATAATCCTTATACATATTCCATTATTTAATTACATTTTTGGCATACAATTTATAAAATGTTGTCATTTCAAAGTATATATAACAATTTTATTTATCACGATATAATTTAATTTTAATTATATATTTATTATTACAAACCAGTTACTTTATGTATATTAATCACATTTAAAATTTAAAAATATATTTAATAGATGTATATGTATAAATCCCGCACAATCGTGCGGGTTTAACATCTAGTATATATATATATATTATATTTTTTTACGGAGATTGCGAGCAAGAGTTACATGATCATCAATTATGATGAAATAATGATTCAATCAATAGAGACTCTAATTTTGTAAAGTATTTTGCTTGAGTTCAAAAAGACTCTTCCTTTTTTTTTCCGAAAGGGAAAGAACTCTTCCTTATTTGTGAATGTCTAACATCATCAAATATGATTTGATAATTGATATAATAATCATCTAATCGTCTCTTGTACGTTATAAATAAAAAAAAATGTCTCTTGAAGTTTTAAAATAATATAGAACCCAAATGGCATTATTTTACACAGGATGATATCCGTTTACTAATTAGTACTAATACGAATAGTACTAGTTAACTGCTGTAAGATAATTGCACACATTCATGATATATGAACAGCGAACTAATCCAGTTTTACCACTTTCTTCATTGATAATGGAAATTTCAAGAAAGGGAAAGAAAAAAAAAACAATTTACAACCATTATGTGTTTTCTACGTATAACTTTTGTCTAAATAAAAATTAACCTTTTTCTTTTCTAATATTACATTATTTTTGGAATCGGAGTTTTTACCAAAGGATGAAAAGTCAAAAAGTTTTGGGTTAAAATTGGGAGAATTGTTCCAAAGCCGAAGGAACCTACTGTGCCAGTTGCCTGTTTCCACAGAGGGAACATTTGAAGTTGGGATTTAACCTGAACTTCTACGAAACTCAGAAGAAACAGGTGGACATGTGTGGACTTTTGAAGGCATTCTTCCTGGAACCATAAAGTCCAATGCTCATCTCCTTCTTTCTCCCCCCTTCCTTAACCAGGTTCTTCTTCTTCTTCTTCTCTCTGCACTTATTTGGCTAGTTTTTCTCTGCCCTTTTCAGTTTTTACCCTTTTTCTTGGTTTAAGGTACCTGTTCAAGTGAATCTAGTATAGTTTGTATCCTTTTCTGGCCTTACAGAATCTCTTTGATTTGATTGATTGAGATTGACTTTTGACATATGCTCTTATTATAGACTAACGGTTAATGATTCCCAAATAGTGATTTTTAAAACTGAAGGGGGTTGGTTTCACAATTGTTCTTAAAAGCCCATCTAGTAATAAGAAGAAAACCAAAAGAAATGAGGGGAAAGAATGGAAAGAGAGAGTTTTGAACTTTAATGGTTTTAGTAGTTTGTAGGACTTAGAAGAGGAAGTTGGTATTCATTATTCAGTCATTCTTACCAGGTTTATGGAGCTGAAAGAGAAAGGGGAAATTGCTTTTGAGGCCATCACCGGAAATTTCTTAATTGATAAAAGCTGGTTTTAGTTGTTAATGTGAATAGTATCTTTGAATGTACACGTTTGCGATGACACCACTCTGAGTCTGAGAGAAAAGAAAATGGGTGTCCGTGATCCCAGTTTGTTGAGATCTTCATGGAGACAGTAAGAATTGATAATGTTTCTAAATCCGTTGGATATTGTTACTGGTTCTTGTAGCTGAATATTGTATCTCATATGGAAAGAGCGAATTCAGAGAATATTCCAAGCTGCAACTGTTATCGGGCGTCTAGCTTAACAAAGCCAATTCTGGCTTCAAACCTGATTCTAGATTTTACGGATCGGTATGTTGTTGGAAGTCAATTGGGATGGGGAAAATTTGGCATTATAAGGGCATGCACGGATAAGTTAACAGGTGAAGTGTTGGCTTGCAAGTCTATAGCGAAGGAGAGACTAATCACGCCAGATGATGTTCGCAGCGTGAAGCTTGAGATAGAAATTATGACCAAGTTATCTGGGCACCCAAATGTGGTGGATCTCAAGGCTGTTTATGAGGTGGAGGATTATGTGCATATACTAATGGAGCTATGTGCTGGAGGGGAGCTATTTCATCAGATTGAAAAACATGGAAGATTCTCTGAGTATGAAGCGCGCATACTTTTTAAGCAATTGATGAAAGTGGTTACTTTTTGCCATGACAATGGTATCATTCATAGAGATTTGAAACCAGAAAACATTCTTTTGGTCTCAAAGTCCTCCTTATCACCAATCAAGTTGGCAGACTTTGGTCTTGCAACATATATTAGAGATGGTAACTTTTCTAATCTTGTCTTTGTCATTTACTTTGGAAGTACCAGTGCTAGTTTTTGACTATTATGGTCAATAACAAGATTTTTTTGATACAATTATGATATCGTTGGAACGATGTGGATGGACAGGGCAAAAGTTGAATGGTACAGTTGGCAGTCCGTTTTATATAGCCCCTGAAGTGTTGGCAGGAGGCTATGATCAGGCGGCAGATGTCTGGAGTGCTGGTGTTATTCTTTATATTCTGCTCAGTGGAATGCCTCCATTCTGGGGAAAGACCAAATCAAAAATATTTGATGCTGTTCGGGCTGCAAAGTTACAGTTCCATCCTGTTCCTTGGGATCACATATCAGAACCAGCAAAAGATTTGATTACTGGAATGCTTCGTTTTGACCCTGCGAAAAGGCTCAAAGCTACTGATGTTTTAGGTATGTCAATTGTACAAACCGTTAACTGCATATTAGATATGGTTCTGGCATTGTTTCGCGCATTATCCTCGTCACCATTAAGGAGAAAAAGTTTGTGAGGAAATTCGTCCAGCAATGAATGAGAAGCATAATTTTTTTTTTTTTGTTTGAGGAAGAGAAGCATAATTAGTGATGATGGTTTTTGTAAATTTCCTTTATGATTTTGTGTGGAACTTGGAATGACTCATTCTGTGACTGATCTGTTGCATGCAATTTAGGGGAGAAATTAATTCGTTTATTTCCTATATTAAGTTTAATGTCACTTATTCATCTTTACTTTGATGCTTTAGTAAAGTGAACTATTATTAGCACAGAGGTTATCATTCTAATTGCTGGTATAAAGCATTTGCATATCTTCTGGAGCTTTACATGTCTTCCGAGATGATAAATGTTGCATTTTCAAGCTTTTCTCATGCTTTTGATGAAGCATGTTGTGCTATTGGGGGCACAAGGTGATTCATTTGTTTTATTCCATGTACTCGTAGTTGATTCTATATGAAGTGTTCAGTAACATTACTGAAATTAGGTATCTTAATTTGACTGTTTGCTTGCAGCTCATCCCTGGATGAATGATTCAAGAGAAGACAGAGGAGGATCAAACATTCATGGCTCTTGCAAATCTAAATTTTTGGGGATGGACAACTGTTCTTTTTCGACGCCATCCATATCCGGAAACCAAGATTCCAGTTTTGCGGAAAAATCAACGTCCCTTGAATGTAGTCAAGGGGAAAGTTCTCCATTTTATACTTGTGGAGCATCTTTTTCATCTTTCTCAATGCATAACCCACCTAGTTCGGTGTTGGGGGGATTTTCTTTTGAAAATTGCAATGATGCTACAGACTTTTCAACCCCACTTTCCTCAATGCCAAGCTTTACGTTCCTCAGCCCAAGCCCTGTACCGCATTCAACTGATGAAATGAGCTTTAGTGCTGGAGCTTCAATAACAGTTGAAGGTATTTTTTCCCTTTTGGTCTTGGAATAATCCCTTCAGTCACTTCGTGCTTTAACTTATGTCATATTACTCAAAATTCTACGGTAGTTTGCTTGAAAACATGGATGATTCGGCTTGATTCACATCATTATACTCCATGTATTCATTGTTTCCTGTGTTTTTCAAGAGTTCTCTCTGATGCCTTCTTTTTTTAGAGCTAGTTTTTGGGTTACGTGTAAACTTGAATGTATATGAGAGCTGTGTGTTTAGTGAATTATGCTCTAACTTTGCAAGGTCTCATTTAACTTGCAGGTTTTGGTTTGGGGAAATTATGCTTTAGTGCTGATTCTTTGCAAACAGTTGAGAAAAAGTGGAGTGAGAGGACTGATTTTCGGAAGGGAGTGGCACATGGAATGAAGACTTCAAGCATTTCTAACAAAAAAAGGAACCATACAATAGGTCTTGGTGAACTTGACAAGCTAGAATTCACGGCTGAGGAATCGGTCATTCGATGGGCGTCGTGTACCTATCTTACAACTTCTGCTTCTCTGAGATCCTCACTAGTGTTCTAAGCATTTGAAGGAGAAAGGCGACTTGCTACTGTCAACTCTTTTAGTGGTTCATTAGCTTTATTTGTAAGCGAGTACTGATCAGTTCACATGTTATACTACTAGTATTCTACTAATATAGGTTCATCTTCCCTCATGTTTAGTATATTCTCCATCCAATTGAAATAGTCCAATTCTGATAGATTAAATCTATATAATATAAATTAAATGACTTACCTTTCAAAACAAAAAATTGGGTACATTGTATATTTATTGATTTTTAAATTATATAAATCCAGTAATTCCAGTAAATCCAGTATTGGAGTATTTTTCCAGGGAGTATTCTCTTAACATGATCCTACAAATTGCTAGGAAGGAAGAAATCCCTCTTTCCCGTCTAACTTGATTGAATTTTTTGTAACGGGTAAGATTAGAAAAGTAGATAGAAATATATGGAAAGTGGAAACAAAAAACTGCTCTCCAGAAACAGGAGATTTTCATAGCACAACAAAGAAGCTGAAACATATTCTACCAAAAAAAGAGAGAAGCAGAAACATACATATTGAGAAAAGAAAAAGAGGAAAACTAGAAGATCCAAAAGGATTCGAAATGGTTACACTTCGGAGCAAGTACTCTTTCTCTTGTTCGTTATAGTACATAATGAGTTCCCTCAGATTAATCAATGACTCCTGTATCAAAATTCCAGCGGTAAGAGCTTCCCTTTTTTTGTGAAAGAGCATGGGCTTCTGTTAATTCTGGAATCGTAGTCCCGTGCGAAATTCTTCAAAGGACTGAGATAGTTATACAACAAGATATCCATAAAACTATCACTACTCAGGGTGCAGGAGCATATTCTTTAATAGCTTCAGCTAATTTATTCCTATCATCCTCCGATCTTGTTCTTAATGAATATGTCCGTGCCATAACATTCTCGTTATCGCCTTCACCCTACAAACCTCAAGTGAGTCACAAAACTTGCATAAAACCAAAAACCTACCAACAATTCTCATTTTGATTGTGAAATATATGAGTTAGCCTCCTGTAACTCCACCGTTTACTTATTTTCCCAATAACGTGCATGCAAGAAAGAAGAATCATAAACATCAGACATTAATGTAAACGGAAGGTAAGATGACATCATCACTTTCTCACACTAATTAATTACTTCGATGTACATGAAACTAAGCACATGAAAAGAACTTGGCAGGAGTACAGAAAATAATTAGACCATTGGCTTATCATATCATATGTCCTAAAAAGTCTGATACCTAAGCACACACTTCTGAAGAAACCAAAAATATAACAAAATGTATTCACAATACACAGGTCATTAATTTTGTAAAAAGTGACTAAACTTGTTGCAATTCGGATTTTCATTGAATCCGATTTTAGCACACAAATTGTAAAGAGTAAAGTTAGATCATGACAACTCTAAAGGCAGTGCATGAAACAGATTGGAAAATGAGTGAAAAAAAATGGAAGGAACAGAATTCTCAAGCAAACTAAAGTAAATGTACAATCAATCAAGGGAAGCATCTTACCGCTGTATGGAATATAGCAAAAATTGAATTCTTCTGCATTGTGGTTTTAATGCCAGGATACAAAGCCGCATTAAGTAAAACCTTTCCAACCTGCAATTTAAAAAGCATCCAGCGAAAAATTTGAGTTAATCCTTTGGTAATAAAGAGAACATCAGTTAGAGCCTTAGACCTCAAAGAACATCCATTTGTTGATCAATCAGCCACACGTGTTATAAATACTTTAAACAGCCTAAAATTTAAAACCCCCGCAACTAATGATAGTGCAATCACATCAAAATGAATGTCTGTTGGAGAGTAATAAAAAAAAAGCGAAGCTATCTTTGTCAACAATAGTATCTAAAAATGCAACAGACCAGCGAATTTGCAAATGATCAAACCATCAAGATCCAGAAAACAAAGTGGATCTAGGCAGTCTGCCTAGATCTTAAAACTATGAAGTAAAAGGAAGATAACAGCAATTTACAATGTAATTTTTCTATCACGCACCAAATAATATTGCATGTTAAACTGGCATCTTGAATACATCAGGATTAAGGAGACAAACAGAACATAGACTTGAATGTAATCCTATAGAATAGGATATGAGCAACCTACATCATTTCGTACAACAATAGTTGGCTTGGATTCTTTGGTACCCTTGTCCACACCCTCCTTGCACTTTATAACAAGTTGGCCAGTACCCTTATGCTTCCAAGGGTCCTCGTCTTTTGGATCACTAGACTGAACACATAGAAAGAGAAAAGAAAAAAAGAAAAGAAGAAGTTGAGCATACTGAAGACTAGGATATTTTTCCACGGACTCCACAAGTTCCTATGCAGATGTGAAAGAAAATTACCCTGACATAGAGTTTACATCGGACTTCATGCACCACAACAATCCCTTTCTCTTCAGCTTTTTTAACAGAGGGACTGCTAGGCTGTTCCGTATCTTCTTCTGTAAAAATAGCAACAAGACAAACAAAAAAACTTCAACATCAGACAACAAGAAATTAACCTCCTACCATACTAAATTTCTCAGCACCAGTCATCTCAAGGCTTTCAAGAGTATTGTCAGCTTAATTTATATCAAAATTCATGGTGGAGCACCTACCTAAAGCCAAATGTTGAATGCGAAATTGATAATAACCATAGAAAAGAAACACCACAAGCACATGGTCAAAGAGAACTGCCAACCTAAGTATATAGTAATGAAAATTACGCAAAAGTACAAAAACATCGGCAGCACTTACCCCCATCCAAATTATCTGAAGCACCATCATTTGAAGGAGCTGCATTTTGATTTTGGTTCCCAATAACTGAGCTTTGGAGACCTGTACAAGTAGAGGGATACCAACATTTGGATATGAGTTCAGAGATGATTATACAAAGTACAAACTACAGTACACATAAACAGAAACACACACAGACACACAGACACACACACACACAGAGCGTGAGAGAGAGAGAGGGTTCAACCAAAATATGTACAACAGTTGTCCCATGAACTACTCACCAAAAGAGAAGGGAGCGCTGTTGTTAAAAAGAGGACCAGAACTCCATGAAGTTCCAAAACTTGCAGTTGTATTAGCAGGAGGGACCACAGGAGTTCCAAAGCTTACAGTTGTATTAGCTGGAGGCATTCCAAAGCTAAAAGTTGTATTAGCTGGAGTGGTTCCAACGCTTACAGTTGCATTAGCTGGAGGGGTTCCAAAGCTTACAGGCGTACTAATTGGAGGGACAACAGGGGTTCCAAAGCTTACAGTTGTAATGGGAGGGATAGTAGGTCTTCCAAACAACAAACCATTTTCTTTTTCCTTGCTTTCAGACCCAACCTTTTTCTGATTAGTGTCGGAACCAAGAGTGGATGTGTTTTCAGATCTGGCAGCATTGGCTTTAAGCCAGCTAACAACATCATTAAAATCCTCCTACAATCAACACATTGAAGAAGTAGCCAGCAATAAGCGGTACTATCACTAAAATTAAATGTCTGAATGCAGTTTGACAATAAACGGAACTGGAACTAAAATAACCTTTTCAAACAGTTAAAATAATCTAAATATTATCACAAAAATAAATTATAGCTCATGGCTGTAATAGCCAAACTTTTACTAAATTCAAAAGAATATCCAATACAACAATTTTCTACTGGATCTTTCAAAGAAAGCATAAAGCCATGCTTAAAGATATTATTAATAATACCGCAGAAAAAGTGGTCAACGGTTTGCTTTCGGTGACAGATTCTATCTATTTGTTGAGAATTAGAGCAACATCTTGACAACTAAAAGAAGTACAATGCCGTACATCTAACAGTTTTATGATCAGCAATGCTGAATGTATTTCAACTTCAGAGAAGAGATAACAGCCGTTACCATAATGGTTTTAGCATGGGTTAGGTAGTCCTGGACTCCATCATCCCAAAGTTCGTCTGGGTGCTTATCCAACTGAGTCTGTATCCAACTGCTCCGAACAAGCAAAATGGATTTAGAATGGAGCTAGTGAAGTGCAAATCCACAAATATGAGTAAGAAACTTCTTGTCATTCAGGCCCTCACATAGCCAAGGATTGACAGCCAACAACATACATAATCAATATCTCTGATAGCTTGTGGTCCCTTTGGTAAAAAGAAAATGACCACTTCCCAAGCCAAAAATAAATCAAAGACATTTTCCCAAAAAATTTCCTTTTCCTAGATACTATAAGCCCTATTCTGATTAAGAAAAAGGCAAGAACAAAGAGCAACAAAAATGCTTTCAACATAAAGATTGTACACCTTGCGAACTGTGTATTGAGGGCTCTCACATGCTGTCTGGATAATTCTGCCCGTTGTTTATCAAGCGGTGGACTGGCTACTACTGACTGTTCCTGTGATGGTTCTGCCCTTTGCGTATCAAAAGCAGATCCCGCCAGAACCCTCTTGTTCTCTATCTACATAATGTACATCCAGGGACAACACGGAAACAATTCGAAATTAAAATTTCGACAACATTTCAAAAATGGAATATCAAAAGAAAATGAAAAATCAATTGCATTTTCAACAACAGCAGTAGATAGTTAAAACTAGCAACTTTTAAGAATATTAACAGTTCAAATAAGCTCACAGCAAAAAAGCAGATATATTCTTACTTCACTTTTTCAGCACAAAATATTGACCACAACCTCAGCCTCGACAAAAAAAAAGAAGGAAATTTTCCATAATCCTAATCAAATTTCTGCCTGAAAGAATAAAATATAGAGTTGCTTATAGTAACTCAATCGCTTCAGCAAACGAGCATACTAAAAACTGAAATCCCCATCCAAGTTCAACAAAACGAAGGAGAAATAAGAAGAAGAAGGAAAAAAAAAAAAAAAACGAAAAAACAAACAACTACTTGACATCCATATATAGCCATAACAACTCGAAATTCGCGGTGTTCCTGTGTGTTTATTCTTTGAATTCAAAAGGCTCCAAAGAAAACTTCAAACTTATTTTTCATTATTAAAAACTGAAAAGACAGGATAAGAATTTGCAGAATCTAAGAAGAATGAATAACTGAAAATGTAGGAAGAAAAAATCTCACTGAATCATTATTGGAAAACGGATTAAAGTCGGAAGTGGCCAAACGTTTTGTTCCCCTCATCATTGCAACAATTGTGGACGGCTTAATTTCTGTCCTCTGATTACGAATTGAGAGTCAAATTTGGGGATTCCGGCACCAGATTTTTGATAATTAGGGCTTTTTTTTATCAGTGATGAACAGTGCTGCCGCAGTGGAGGAAAAAGGGGAAAAATCTCAGAAAGCGCAGAGAAAAGGAGGAGAGATTTTGCAATTTTCAACGGGGATGGCGGAGGTGAAATCAAAACCGTTGAGTTCAGGTGGGGTAATCATAATTTGATTTCAACCGTTTGATTTAATTAAATTAAATTTATAGTGATGCACCATCAGAAGTTGTACAACGGCCCAGATTAGGAAAAGGACCATAAGGAATGAAGATGGGCCCTCTAAAAGGAGCCTCTTTTGGGTTAACGGCCGAATATCATTTTGTAGTTCCAATATCAGAAATTCAGAATCTCTCATGTTCGTAACCAAAGGGGTTGTGACTATTGGTCGAGGTTCGAACCTCGCCATGGGCATGGAACAACTTTAAATATTTTAATCAGCTGTCTCATTCAACAAGGTGTCTATAAGTCAGCGAGGGGGATTAGTCACTGTTACCGACGATGGACTCCTTGTAAATATGCAAAAAGAAAAAAAAAGAATCTCTCATATTCGTAGACCTTAGCTTTTATGCTCAATATATTTCACGAAATAATTGTCCAGTTTAAATTTTCATTTTTAATAATAATACAAAATATGCTGAAAAGTGAAATTACAAACTGGACAATAATTTCAAGTCAGAATGGAGAAACATTGGCCGAGTCCATATTATTCATTGATCTTTTTACATAGAAGAGAAAATGGTCGATTTGACCTTAAATTTCGACCTCCTTGCTAAATTAGCCAAAAAAAAAAAAATCATAAATGGATCATGATGGTTTAAGTGATTGAATTTGTTATTTAATTGATAAACTCAGATTTTTGTGTTTCTGGAATAATATGAAAGTTATTATGATAGTAATTGATTTTGATATTTGAATATTCTCATCAACAATTTGTTCCCAAACATCATTCTATTTTGCTTACTTTTAAAATTCATTCGAACCCTTTTTCTATATGTTTTTCTTTATAAAAGTAAATTCGTGGGTCACTTGATGATCCGCGCAATCCGCTTGGTTTTATTACAAAAAAAGTACAACTCAATTTCAAAGCGGATTGCGTTTTATTTGAAAACGTAAAATCTTATGCCATGCATAATTCTCCTCTAAAGGGAAAAAAAAACTTGCATTTTTTTAGTCAAGAAGCAATAATCACGATTACATGTTAAAAAAAATCTTGAAGGCCTAAATATAGGCCCACATGTAGTTCCAACTTAAAACCAATTGATGATAAAGGGAGTAGCACATTTGGTTATATATTGGTTTCAAGAGTTTACTGTTTCCAATGTGGGACAAGAAAATTTGGACAATTCTCAATATTCAATATTCTCAACAAAGTTGATCCATTACAATCTAAATTCCACGTACTTTCAAAAGCATTCAAACTACAAAAAGAATGTGTCTTCCAAACTTTGTATTCATTATCTTAGTCGATCTAAAATAAACAAAGCTTGATTCAGGGTCTTATAAGTGTGTGCAGCCACGGAGCAAGACTTTTTTTAAAAAAGAAAAAGGTAAGGCAAGATCATGCCCTAAAATTGACAAAAGTTATATTGTCTTGTATAAGTAATATTATAGTAACTAGTATAGTATACAGGAGGGAAACTAGTATAGTATAGGAAGGATTATCATAGCTATGTTCCTGATGAAGGAAGGGTAATTTACTAATTAAGTGAAATTTTTGCCACGGGTAGGAGTGATTAAGACTGGCCATGATGTTTATAAGTAGGGTTAGCCCTGTTTAAAGCCATGTGAAAGGCGTGTTAAGGGTGTTGATCCCAGTTTACTTATAATTGATCATGTTGATGGACTTAATTATTCTGTAATCTTCCCTATTTGGTTCAAGATTTCCTGAATTAGAAAATATTAATGCATCATATAATCTATCTAATAAATTTTTTTTATTTGGGATTGGATGTCTAATCCATTTTAATACTTTATTAAGAGGTTTATAATTTATTACTAACCTTGGTCTTCCTCTTTCTATTTCACTATGTTTATTGACATAAAACCCAGTACATGACCATGGAGAATTTGACTTTTTAATTAATCCTTTTTCTAATAACATATTCATTTCTTTTTTACATAATTCTAAATATTCAGAATTCATTTGGCAAGGTCTTGCCTTTGTCTTAATCATTGTTTTCTCATAAAAATCATCTTCGTATGGAAGACTAATTACATGCTTTTTTCTATCCCAAAAAGCATTAGGATGATCATTACATATTTCAGTAGAAATATTATTATATACTCTTTTAATCTTTTCTTGTAATTTAGGATTTTTTAAATCCTCTTCTATGGAGAATATATTAATTTTAAATTTTAAGAAATTAATCTGATTATTTTTTCTAAAAATAAGATCTCTAAGTTCATTTATGAATCTCGTATTAGGTTCAGTTATAAATTTAAAAGATACAAGTTTTTTATCATATGTACCTATGGTACTATCAGTATCAATATGAGTGATAGGAAAAATCCTCTTTATAAAAGGAGTTCCAAGTATAACTTGGCTAGTTATATTTTTAGCTATTAAAAAACTTTCAGGAATACAAACTTGATTATTACAAATATATCCTTTAGACAATTTATAATTTATGTCTAATGCTTTTCCACCAGCATGTCTTACCACATGAGTAGTTTTTTCAAAATATTTAGTGGTAATTATTCCCTCCTGTATAACACTAACATCCGCACCACTATCAATTAGGGCTATTAATTCTATTTGATAATCATGATATATTAATAATTCAATAATAATATGAAATTTAAAGGAAGTGATTAAATCTAAAGATCCTAGAAAATTCTCATTTCACGTTTCACTTATTAATATATTTTTATAAGAATCTACTTGTTTCTTATTTTCTAAATTAGAAACTCTATCATCTAAACTCTTATTAAGCTTTTTCAGAATTTTTATTTCTTCTTTAAGATTATTAATCTCTTCTCCTAAATCACTTACCGTGGTAGGAGCTTTTTCTATCCTATTAGATTTCTCTTTGAGCATTTTATATACTTTATCTATTGTATATGGATTATTATCTATTTCTAATGATTCATCATTACTACTATTTGGAATATCCCGAACTTGTTCAATTATCTTTGATCTTAAATCTTGATCTTTTATTGATCTCAAGAATTTCAGAATATTATTACTAGTTAAAACACTAATGTCTGATTCTTTGAATTGAGATATAATTTTATAAAATTCTTCATTTTCATTATTTATTCCTTTTATGCAACTATTAGTTCCCTCGTAAGGATCACAACACTCAGTTTCATCTTCTGAACTTTCTGATGTATAACTTAACTGATCTATTTAAGCCTCATCTAAGCTTTCTGATTCAGATTCTGAACTTAACAAATTGATTAATTCATTTTTGATTTCCTGGCTAATATCTAAACTATTTATTCTTTTCTTAATTTTACATCTATTTGCAAAATGTCCTGGCTGTTTACATTTATAACAAATTATATTAGCTCTATCTTTCTTATTCTCAAGTCTTTTCATTTTCCTTATTGCTCTTTTATTTATTTTTTCTTGAGAATATTTTCTCTTCTTTTTCTTATAATACTTGTCACCTTTTTTAAAATTTTTTATCATTCTTTTTTTCTGATGGAATTTCCATACCAAATTGACTACAAAACTGACCTAATTGTTTTCTTTCAGTCAATCTTTGTTTTTTAATTTGTTGATTTAATTTTATTTCATTACACAAGGCTAATCCTTCCTGAATGCAAGTTCCTATTAATTTTCCATAAGTATAATCTTCATAAGGAATATTTATTCTATCTTTTCTTAAGATTCTCCTAACTCTTTCTGCAAATAAACTTGGTAATCCATCTATAAATTTAGATTTCCAATGAACACTATTACTATCATGTAATTCCATAACTCTATTAAGAAAAGCATCTCTATACCATCTAAAATCAGATAATGTTTTACATCTTAAATTTTGTAATAAAGTACGAATATTTTCATATTATCTGAAATTCTTCCTGTAAAATGTTCTAATATAGTAACAATCAGTGTATAAACTGCATTTTCTATAATCTGAGATCCTTCTTGTTTAACCGTTCTATAAATTTCTTCTTTATTTTGTGGAGACAAATAATGGTCCCACCAGCCTTTTAATTGGCCAGTAAATCCTGTAACTATCATTTTTGCAATTCTTACATCATTATTTCCATTTGTTTTACAAATAGTACTATACATTAACATTCTATGGGCCAAATTATAAATTTGTTTTTCGGTATATCCATCTATATTCCATTCATAAATACACTTCCCACTGTAACTATTATTTAGTATATATTCCTGCTCTTCGTGTAAAATATCTGTAGGAGAAGGTCTATTATAATAATACAACCTCTGAGTGGGTTTATCAGCATACTTATTTAATTTATTAATCTCATCATTTATTATTGTTTTATAATCCTTATCTTCTTCTAATTTTTCTGAGAATTCTTCTTTCAGAGTATTAATCTTTAAATTTTTAAATTTAGTATCTAATAATTTTTCTAACTCTGACAAAGATTTTAATTTAAAATTTTTTATTTCAGGTGGTGGTTGAAGAGTTGGTGCCGCAACAACATCTTTTTTAGTATTACTAGGACTAGCGTCTCTATTATTTTCTATTAAATGAATTAATTTATCTAACCTACCTTGTAAAGATAAAATTTCCTAAGACATTCAAATAAACATTTGTATAATTATTCTGTTCTATTATCTTATTCATCTGTTTTAGGGTTTAGGGTTTAGGGTTATCATCGGTTATAATATTATTATAGGTATGATGAAGTGTAGTTCGAGGTGTAACGTAAATTTTATCTTAGATGTAAAGTAAATTTTAAAAAGATTGGAATAAAAATAGGGAAGATGAGTCTATGTCCATTCATAAATACACTTCCCACTGTAACTATTATTTAGTATATATTCCTGCTCTTCATGTAAAATATCTGCAGGAGAAGGTCTATTATAATAATACAACCTCTGAGTGGGTTTATCAGCATACTTATTTAATTTATTAATCTCATCATTTATTATTGTTTTATAATCCTTATCTTCTTCTAATTTTTCTGAGAATTCTTCTTATAGTAACTAGTATAGTATTGTATATCGTTTTAACATTACAAGTTGTATTGTCTTACAAGTAAAATTAGAGTTGTATACAGTACTCCATTGCCTAACAAAAATAAGAAAAAAAATCGCATTATTATTATTATTGGATTAAAAACAAAATAAATTAAACTATCATTAAGTTTTGGGATTGTTTCTTAATTATTATAAACAAAATCTCTTGCTGTTATGTGATTGGGCTGGTTCGTGATACGATATATGCAGTATTCGCCCACCTTCCCAAGTATGACACGGCCATCTTTAACTTTAAACATTATTATAAGGAAAACTTGGTGTATAAAATAATAGATAACTATTTATACTACTCCCTCCGCTCTTTATTACAAGGCATTTTGATTTTGTCCTATATTTCACTTAGGATGTCTTTTCAATTGAAATAAAAATCTTTAACAACATTTTACAATAATTAGGAGAACATGATGAATGTGAAAATATATTTTTAAGGTTTTTCTTAATTAAAAAGACATAATAGGTAAAACCTAGAACAAAACAAAATGCCTTATATTAAGTACCGGGGGAGTATTATTTAATTAAATTTATTAGAACACCACCTAATAATTGGATTTGGAAAAGAGAATTAATATCAATGCAATAATTATAATTTTTCCCGACAATAATAAAAATATAAATTATTTATAGACAATACTATCCTAGTATATTACTAACTGAATATAGTTAGTATTTTTTTTTTTTTTTGGCTGATTTTTTCGTTTTCTCCCAATTACTTACTGATCTTGAGTTGTTCGTTTGGTTTATTTTGATTTCTGATCCCATGATCTTATGCTTTGTAGAATTAGTAGTGATATGAGTGTTGGTCGTTGTTCTTTTTCCGATTGTATCTTCGCCGTGTGATCTTTTTGCGATTTCCTTCCTGCAAAGCCTTGCTTTCAATAAGATTTTGCTGGATTGTAATTAATTCTGGTGCATGTTCAATCAAACACTCTGCCACCTTTCTTCCGCCCAAACGATTTTGATGACTCTAGAATTAGAATTTTATGTTTTATTATAGGTATTGAATTCTTTCTGTATTCTGTCGGATCAAATCTGAAACATTGGATCGATTATTTTAGTGTTTGGTGCTTGTTAAAGGGTCTTTTTTGATTATGATTTCCAGCTCTAGCTTATCTTATGAATCTCACTGGTGAAATTTGCAGATGAGCTGATCGCAACCGCATCGTACATTGGTACCCCCTGGTAAGGGCATCCTTGCTGCTGATGAGTCAACTGGCACCATTGGCAAGCGTTTGTCCAGCATCGGCGTGGCCAATGATGAGTCCAACCGGAGGGCTTACCGCGAACTTCTTTTCACCACCCCTGGTGCCCTTGACTGCCTCAGTGGAGTTATCCTCTTCGAGGAAACTCTCAAACAAACGACTGCTGATGGTATGTTTTCGTTTGGCATATTCAGTTTACTACTAATTTCGTTTTTGGTAGATTCAATTTACTGACTTTGTGTACCTTTTTTAATTTTTTTTTTCAGGCAAGCCTTTTGTTGAACTCTTGAAGGAGGCTAATGTCATCCCCGGAATCTAGGTTGACAAGGTGTGGTTGAGCTCCCTGGCACCAATGGCGAGACCACCACCCAGGATCTTGACGACCTCGCCAAGCGCTGTCAGGATTATTACAAGGACGGCTCCAGATTCGCCAAGTGGTGTGCCGTGCTCAAGATTGGAGCCAATGAACCATCCCAGCTCGCTATCAATGAGAATGCTAATGGATTGGCCCGATATGCCATCATCTGCCAGCAGAATGGTCTGGTGCCAATTGTTGAGCCTGAGGTCCTTGTGGACGGGCCTCATGACATCGACAAGTGTGCTGAAGTGACCGAGCGCGTGCTTGCTGCGTGTTACAAGGCATTGAACGATCACCATGTCCTTTTGGAGGGTACTCTGTTGAAGCCCAACATGGTGACTCCTGGATCCGATGCTGCCCAGAAGGCTACTCCTGAAAAGATTGCTGAGTACACGGTCCGGGCATTGCAGCGCACTGTGCCTCCTGCTGTCCCTGCCGTGGTGTTCTTGTCTGGTGGCCAGAGCGAGGAGGAAGCTACAGTCAACCTCAATGCTATGAACAAGCTTGAGACCAAGAAGCCATGGTCATTGACTTTCTCCTTTGGACGTGCATTGCAGCAGAGCACCCTCAAGGCTTGGGCTGGAAAGGAGGAGAAAATCAAAAAGGCTCAGGATGCATTATTTGCTAGGTGCAAAGCCAACTCTGATGCCACTCGGGGAAAGTACGTCCAGGGTTCTACCTCATTGACCCCGGATGCTACCAAAAGCCTCCACAAGAAGGACTACACGTACTAAGTTCAGTATTGTGATATATCCTAGTTTCTCTTGTTACCTTGTTTTTTTTTTTTTTGTTTTTAGAAAATAGTACAAATCTGGCAGGCTGATTCAAAAGGATTTTTCTGGTGTGATTTGGAATTAGGCTAGTTTGAATGGTATTGCTACGGTTTCCCTTTTTTTTTTTCCCAATGTTATTCCTGTTTTCATTATGCAATTAACTGTGAAATTCATTCATCTGTTAGCCCTTTGCTTACACCATTTCGTTTCGCTCGAGCCATATCTTCAAAGTCTTCATCGATTGATTGATTATATTGGATGTTTCACCATATTAATATACACGATGAATGCTACAAATTGAATTTGTTTAGTTTAGCTTGTGTGTTTCTCTGATAGAAGGGAAAATAGATAGACCCAAGGAAAAAAGAACAGTATTCAATTGGTCACTAAATTGTATGTGTTTTTCACTTAGTTAATGTGGTAAAACAATACCCTAAACTTAAGCAAGAAATCACTGAGATGTCATGTTAAATGACAATTAGAAAAGAATTTAACTGAGAACCCTCCACTTGGATGGTATTGCTCATTGCCGACCTATCATCTCAAAGTTCTTAAAAGTATATGGAAGCCAAAAAGTTTACAAAAATAAAAAGAAAAATAGGTCTCCAGAGAAGTCTAAACTAATGGCCTTCTCACATCATCTTCTTGATCTCCTTTATTATCCGATTGCTTCCTGAAATCTTTCAAAAGAGACTTCCCTTTAGCATGGGCGTTGGAAATCAAGAGCCGAGCCGCAGGAGGCTTATGATCCGGCAGAAGCTTGATTAAGATTCCCATTGTAATGAGTAGCAACCCAGAACAATGTTCTTCAGTTAACGGTTTTGTGAATATCAAGTATGACAGCAGCAAAGTCACAGCTTTCCTCGCTGTTGTTATCTGTTCATCCAGAAAAAAAAAACACCATAGGAAGTTTTAGCAACAACGAAAGCGTGCTTCAAATATAACTCGTTGTAGCTAAAGCGAAATAAAGTTATCTTGAAAATGTAAAAAAGAAAAAAAAATGCAATGGAATAGATCAGGCCTGTGAAACAAATATGTTCCAATTGTTGTTGAAGTTACTTACCATGGCAGTAGTGGCAGCCCCAAAAAGGGCAATGAGTGATAGAACTGAGACCTGACCAATGAATGTGGCCATTGCTTCAAAGACTAACACACCATACACATAAGGATGCTGCAAAAATGTTACTCAATGTTCGTCAATTATTTCACTCAAAAATCAGGCCAAAACTGAGTCTTTAATCATTATTAAAGTTTCTACTTCCAAACACTTCATTTCATTCAAAAATTCTGGAGAGTGAAAATTCCCCTTGCTGATGATGGATCATCAATAAAAAATGGCAGGAAAATGGAAAGAAAAATGATCTAATGTGGAATAGTACCTCATAACAAGAATTCCACGCCCGGAAAAGCTCGCCTGTTAGTATCATTGGTGCGAGAAGGAAAGGCAATCCGACCACTGTTGAGCAGAATAGCATCTCCATCTATAAGGGATTGCATAAGAAAAAGTGTAAACACTTTCACAGAAACATGATAATACAACGTGAAGTACTGACGCTATCATGGTTGCTTCTGCTTTAATTCTAGGAAAACATGAGTAAAGTATTACCTGAGTGGTATCCGGATTCACAGTAAAGATTGCTTCTTGCAGATTACCAAGAAAGGAGTCCATAACAAGAGCCCCGGTAATCATCACGACGCCGATGATGCTGAAGTTAGGAGATGTGTTTGCATCTGCTAATGTAAAGATAATCAAGCCGATTACAAGGAGAATGGCAGAAATGTATTCATGGAGGGGATATTTTCTTCTCAATCCTGGTATGAATGCACCCATCAACATCACAGGCAACACCTAAATATGTTCCAACAGACAAAATGTACAAAATGATTAGACTAAATTTATTAGGCTCTTCCAAAAAGAACCAACTGATATTCATCAAAATATAAGTATACCTTAGTGGATTTAAACATGATTTGTGCAGGGTAATTGAGATATGCCAAAGACCCTTTTGTCAATCCATGAGAACCCATAAGCACAGCAGAGAGCTTGACATAAGTGTTCCATGGATTTACCATTTGCTTGGTAGTGAAACCTTGTAAACGTAGCAGTGCCAAGTACACAAAACCTTGAACAAATGTAAAATACCATCCATAGCTGGGACAGAATTAACCAAAACAACGGGGAAAGATTTTAGGAACTGATTAATCAGAAAACAGGGAAATTTTTTTTGTCAAAATAAACAGAGACTCCAACTGACCTGAAACTAAGCCTGTTGTATACATACTCCTGCAAATCATGATCCAAGGTGATTGTCAGACATCTACAAGATAACTCTGAATGTGCAAAATGACTATAACTTTTTCCAAATCAAGCCACTTTGGGTGCAATCAAAGGCAAAAATCATCGTTACACGCTACAGATAAAGTGTTCAAACTTTAACCAATTCATATGCAAATTTAGGCAAATTTCACATCTCAAATATAATGACATTTTAGAAGGTTATTATTAATGCAGCTGATAAATAATTAGAAGTAACAATTCTACAATTAAAACAGGCAACTACAGTTATGTAGAAGTAAATTGAAGCAAGAAAATGTGTAACTCATTTCGAATTGCCTTTATCATCATCTGTAACTCTGTTTTGATTCGTTACGATATTTTAACTCGAATCAACCTGTAACTTTTGTTCCTTAAACACTCCAGACAAGGAAAGCCATCATAAATATTCATTTTTTGATGCAGAACATAAAGATATCACCCTCAAATAGATAAAAATCCCAACTTTAAGGTCGTTGGATCAAACAATGGAACTAATTATAAGAAAAGACAATGAAAACACCAACAAACTCAAATCAATCCTTGATGGTGGAACGGACAACATGGAAAATACAGAAACAAAAAGAAGAAAAAGCCCACCTCACAAATGCCATTAACAAGATAACCGAAGAAGAAACCAGAGGAACAAATAAGAAACTGCTGCCATTTGGGACGATCAGATAATGAAATCCCAAACAGGGTCCTCGATTGATCCTCGTTCTTCATCTCTCTCCTACTCTCCAACAAAACAAAAGCTGCAGAAATAAAAATCTAAACTTTGATTTATATCGATGCTCTGTTTCTTTGCATGGACTTGGGAGTAGTATTAATCTGATCCCATTAAAGAGAAATGGAAGGAAACAACAGCTGGTTCAATAAATTATATAAACCAGAAGAATAACCAACACGCCTATGATAATACTTCTCTACCAATCTCTAACGACCCCTTTTTTAATTCAAGATTTTGGCAAGAAAAATGCTGTTCCACTCTGATAAATCTGGAAAAACAAAAACACAGAAAATGATGAGATAATTTCTCTGTTTGTTTTTTTGGTAAGCTTCTTTGCAATCGAATGAAACCTTTAAAACAGGAGTACTTAAGGCAGAGATAAAGGAATGTGAAGGCACACACGATCTTTTTGACTCACTTTTTTATGAACAAAATTTATGAAGAAAAAGACTATATATATACACGTGTGGCTTTGTGTGCAATCGATCTTCCTTCTTTTTTCTTTTTTTTTCCTTTGCTCTTTTTCTTTTCTGAAAATACGAATATGAATCACTGAATTGAGAGAAGGTTAATACACAATTGACGGTGCCAAACAATTAGTGCGGTGAGAATTTTGGTCACAATATAATGTAGTATTACTATCTACATTTTGACCAAATACAAGAAAAATCATAACGTTCCATTTATCGTATTGTGATTCGAACTCGTATTTCTTAATTTTGGTTAGTATTGAATTTTTTTTTATTCTGGAAACACGTTTTTTATTTGTTGGTATGAAAATCACTTGTTACACACCTAACCTCTCTCCCTTGATTATTGATGATATACCATTACTTTTTCACCTTACCAACTGATTTTCTCTTAATGCTCGGAAATTTGGAAAGTGAAAATTTATATTTTGTCCATTTTTACATATAGGCACACACTTAAGTCTTGAAAATATAGAGCTTTCCTCAATATGTAATATCCTCTCATAATGGAATTTTAATGCTTCAAATGATATGTTAATTAAGTACATTATTAATTAGATAATAAATGGTATAAACGCGAAAAAGTTAATCAATTTTTTTAATTAATAGGCAGCCGGCAGTCGGGAAAAGTGGCAGAACCAACATTTCAATTTTTTTCCCATCCTTTTTCAGTGTTGTCAGACTCGGACCGGAGCTCGACTCGGCAGTGGTCAGGGGTCGAGCAATTCGGGAGTCGACTCAGGACAATTCGGAGGCCGACTCGGATGATATAATAATGATATAATAAATATTAAATATTAATAATTATATTTTTAAATAAAATTTTATATATTTTACATATATTTGATAATTGTTAAAATTAAACTAGCGCTTCATAACTTTCAAATGGGTTTTTTATGAAACAAAATGACGACATTAGCTAGAATATTAGTTTAAACTAACTTTTATTATAATGAAAAAATTAATAAATTTACTACATAATAGAATTTTATCATTAAAAAAAAATTATATCGCATGTTTAATCAATATATTTGGTAATATTTTTTTCAACTTTAGTTTAAAGTGATGAATATTGTTCAAATTATTTAGTTTACAATATTTTGCCTTAGTTCAAAATAATGGTTATTACTCAATTTGACATTTGAGATGTGAGATGAATAACTAAATTAAAAATTTAGACTTAAACATTTGAAATTATGGGTTAAATCACACAAATATAAAAGTTATGAGCCATTAATAACACAAAGAATCTAATTCTGAGCCAAAAGTTAAAAGTTCATCCTCAAAAGTAGTGAAAAAAAATTAAAAAGTAGGCTCATAGTCAAAACTCAGTTCGACCCAGATTTGACCGATTTCCAAGTTAACCGGAAACTTGACCGGTTTTGACCGAGTCAAAACAACCGATTATATGTCTTACTCGGCTCGGCTTGGGGTCCGGTTTTTAGTTAAACCGGTTCGACCGACCGGTCCAAACCAAGTTTAACAACACTGTCCCTTTTTGGTGTATTGGAGGAAATTTTTTAAAACGAGACCTTAGAACATTGGTTATGACTATTCATAGGGATCGAATATATACTCTCTGACCATTGGTTGTTGTTTCGTCCTTAAAGAGTGCCAAAGAATTCGATTTCACAAAAAGCATTTGGACTGGATATTAGACCAGTTTAATTATGAGTTTAGTTTGAAACGGGACATATGCATACAGTACTGATTAAAATACATGTTGAGAGAGTTTTGAGTTTTAAAAGGGATATATTTGTTGAGAGAGTTTTGAGCTCCAAAAAAGATTTATTCAGGTCGAATCTTAATTAGTTGTGAGCAATAATTTTGAATATCGGATGATGTTATACAAAAAAAGAAAAGAAAAATTGATCTTAATTACTTCTTTAACACTCAAATTTATGAGAATCTATTGTGTTGGAACAAAGTAAACAAAAAATAAGTAACTGTCCTAGAAACTTTTTGCTCTCCTTACCATTAACATTTCCATAGAGATTATATTTGATTTTTAAAAAAAAACAAAAAGTTGTATGACGCTTGAGTTGCTGGTACTTCAGGAAGTATATATGAGAGAGTGCATACCACAAATTTGGATTTGAGAATTGGGGAGGATCAAAGGAATATTGCGACATAATTGGCCATTTTCACCATTGTTAAATCATATTCACGCGTGGATCTGGAATGTAAATAATGTGATCAACAATGGTGCTTAAATTGGGCAAACCAGAACCATCTGTTACAAGCAACAAGGACGGTGAACGAATTTTATTTTTAATTCGAGTTTGGTTTACTATGTAATTAATATATTTTCCGTAGAACGTAATTCATTGGGACGTTAGGAAAGCAAAGAGAATTGAATATTATTGGTAGTAAATTGCTTAGAGTTGGGGCAATGCGGCAGCTCCCATGTCATTGCCCTGCTTTGGTCAAAAGACCAACCGGCCTTCAGAAGAAGGGAGAAAACAAACCAAGGGGAAAAAAATAAAAAATGGCATCGAAATTTCAATCATTAATCACAAAACTTGATTATAACTTAAGTAATGAACCTCATGTCACGGGGATAGCATATCTTCGTATTGTAGAAATTCTTGCCACCAGTATATCCATTCCTATATATAAAGTACGGCTTGGAGGTGTTTCGTTCGCCGTCGTCGTTGTCACTTGTCAAGGCCCTTTTTTCCTTTTTTTTTTCTTTTTTTCTCTTGGTCCTTTTTAGCTAAATTATAGAAAGGATATATAACTATTGGACAAGGGCCGTATTATAACCATTGGTAAGCTAAATGTTCCTTGTTTACACAGTAGGTAACATTTACTTAACATATCCTGGAATTTATTTGTCAAAGTTTTTTTTATTCATTTGGCAATATTTAATGCTTAATAGTCTGAGTTTTTAATTTGAATTATCACTTATATTACGCTTCAGTGAAAAAAAAATTGAGTAGTTCAAATTAAGAGAACACTAGAAAAATAAAAAATAAAAAGTTTCACCGAAATGCAAAATGAGCACAATAAATATCGAATAGTGCGTGATTAAATTTTAAAACTATTCCAATCAGTTTTGATGATGTTAGGTAGGATTAGAAACGAAGTATAAGAATATGTTATTTCAATATAAAGATAACCGACCAATTAGAAAATTTACAAACTTTAGTAATTTAAGATTTAGACATCAAAGTACAAATTTACAACTAAAATCGTTATAGTTAAATATCTAAACATAGTGGTTAAAGACTTCTCCATCTTTAATCATAGGTAGAAAGTTCGAATCTCACCATGAGTATACAACAATTTTAAATTCTTCAATAAGTTATCTTAACCATTTAAGCGCCTATCATCAGTGATGGGATGAATCAATGTTATCAACCATATGGACACCTTATAATATGTATTAAAAAAAAAACAAAAAACAAACAAACACACACACACACATACATTGGGGTTAAAATATTTAAATTATTTGTAAAATTTAAATATTGGTAATCACACATATTTCTTCTTGTCCTTTTTCTGGTCAAAGCAGCCAGGGCAAAATTTGGTGTGGTTTTATCTCTCTTTTTTTGTGCGTCATTTTATCCTTTTACTTTGTAAAAGAAATTCATTTTTAGTACTGTAGGGAAAATTTTATAAGAAATGGTATTTTTAGTCTAATCTACTTCATTAATCTTTAAATGGATAAATATTTAGATATATAAAAACATATAAAATTGATTGATATGATTAATTCACACTGTTCTTTATTTTTTTACATGACTGTTATAAAATTTCCATCACTATATATCTGTATAAAAGGGTCCTTGCGAAGCGCGGACAAAAGGTACCTAGTATAGATAAAGTGTGGAACTCAATTTATTTCCTTAATTGTTCAATGCTAAATCAATAATCTTTTTCTTTTTCTTTTTTTTTTGTTTGGGGGTGGTGTTTCAGCCTAAAGTAATGCTCTCTTGTTGTAATCAAACGTTGTTGTTAACTGTTGGACGAATAAGACCACTCGAAATTGTACTTTTTTTTTTCCACGAATAGGACCATGCAACTGTAGTTCTCTTGCTCGCAGAAATTGGACCACTAAACTGAAAAGGGCATGCATGAAGATGATTCGCGTATTTTTGTTGTCCTTTTGTGTTTCATTTTCCCGTAACATTTGGTATGTGAATACTATAATTAGAGTACTTAACAATGTGTAGCTCAGTACAAACCTAACTCGAAAATGATGTGTTCATAATCGTAGGTACACTGATGATCTCTCCATTCTGGGAGCAGTCTGAACTATGAACCCAAGATTAAAAACGATCATAGTTTGCAAGTGTAAGTTTCATTTTGATGAAAACAATAACTAACATTCTGATACGGAAATTTTTAACCTTTATTTTGCGAATTGACCTGCAATTAGCACACATTTTGAGGAGCAAATTAGTTATGATAATGGATCTCAAAAGTACCAAAACTCCCCCAAGCTTTTATTATTATTTGAAGAGTTGATAGAGGTGTATCAACTGTCAAGAGTTTCTACAAACTGGAAAGGCTAGTTACACTGTTACACTAACTGAAGAGAGAGCTATTTGAGTGCCTTTTACGATCACACTCAGCATATAAAAGGGATAGAACTTGGAAAGATAAATGGTGAAACTTTGAGAGAAAGAACTTGGCAATAATTCTCAAAATTTCACCATTCTTGCATCCCCTAAAACGAAAACTAGTAAGGAAAAAATTGATTGAAGAACCAACCATAACATTTCCCCCTGGAAGACTAGTAACTAGATTGATCAGCACCAAAAGATCTCGAGACTTCTTGTTGAATGAAAGACGGAAAACAAACCTCGAGTTAGAGTCTCTCAGATTGATCATGAGAGGAGATCATGGCATAGTTCCTTCATCATGGTAGCAAAAACCTCGACTTCCAACTCAGTAGCCACCTCCTGTTTCTCCTCATTCGATCTCCTCCAAGTTCCGTCCCTTTCCATATCTCGCATATATGTTTCTCTGTTCTTTGGTACTTCCCATCCAAGATAAAGTTCGCGGGGTTGCCCCGTGATCCAGTCTTTCGCGGCTGCTACCAGCTCGTGATCTAGTTGTATTTTGGTGTTGCTACTTACGCAGATAGCATTCTCAGGGCTGATTTTCTCCATTTCCATTCCTTCCTTGAAGAAATCCATAAGTAACTTGTCATAATTTGTTTTCAGCTTCATACTGCAGAATGATGGCATGGTGGATTTTGCTAGCTGAAGTAACTTGAAAGACTTATCTGAAGTAGCTTGATTCTCTTCGTCTTCGCTGTAATCAATGAAATCCTCACTGCTTGATTCTGAAGAATGGCAAGGAGGACTTCTATCAGAATCAGCAACATCACGATCAGATTCAGATGACACAAATTGACGGCTTCTAATCGAACTGCGAGGAGGGGTTCTATCTGAATCACCATCATACTCAGATAAAATGTATCCAGAGTTTCTATCCGAATCGCGATCAGACTCAGATAATACGTAACCAGAACTTCCCTCCGAATCATGATCAGATTCGGATAAAACAATGATTCTCTTTTCCAGATTCAACGGTTGCAGTTCAGTCAGCCTCTCAAATTTCTTGATCTTCCTCAGCAGCCTTTTCTTAGTCCCTGCACATCAAATTCAACATTGTTGAATCACATTCACAAAATTCAGCTCGAAAATTTTCCAATAGAGTCACTAGTGATACAAATTCTTAGTAAATTTCTTAACTAGGGTGGCAGCAACGTTATTTATAGATGCTCGATGATAAGAGTAACAATCGCTAAAATAGTGTAACAATCAATAACATAAAATTTTCGCTGAATGTATCGTTGCTTACTGGAAAGACGTGATTATTTTTATAATATTTTGTACTCCATTTAGACAAAGTGTAACAGAGGCGACGACTAACCTTCCATACGTGCAAGTCTATGTTGGAACGGTGAGGATGAGACAGAGACTTCATCATCGTCGTCGAATGGACAGTCTAACACAGACACAGGACTGAAATGTTGCTTCACATCTTCATGACTTGGGCATTGCATCCCTTCCAGTACATCTGATGAAATTGGACTTGGACATTGCTGCATGTAAAATCCAACAAACACAAATGTTACAAAAACCCAAACAAGAAACAAAATTCTTTTAAATCAATATTAAAAACGTAAGTGGTCTTTCACCATTTATCGCTTTTATCATACTCGTCAAACGATAAAAATCTAATAATTCTAATTAAATATTAGTATTTGATCATAGAAAATCAAACTGTTATTATGAGACGGGGAGAAATGAAGTGAAGGCATAAGGCCCCGTTCGACCAACAAGTTGCTCACTTATCCAAAAATTGTATAGAAACGGCCCCAACATTCATACCATGGTATTAAAGAGAACACATGAAGCTGCCCCAAATTATTACACAAGCATTTACATTCATGTTTTTCTGTTCATTAAATGCGCAAAAAAAGTTTAAGAAACAAAAAAAAAAAAACAATGAAATTAATATATCGTCATTCATCACACATGTCCCATATAAAGCTGTTGCAGGATTTACAACTAAAAAACATGACATACCTCATTCCCACCCATCAATTACAACAGATTTTTGATCCCAAACTACAACAAGTTACAAGACCTTACAAAGTGCCCATTCAAAGGTGTGATGGAGGTTCGAAAGATAAGTTACACAAACGTACTGATGTGCTGCTAGTCATCCCGTTTAGTCTTTTATTTTATAATGTTCTCTAAATTAAGTTATTTATTAATAGGCTTTATAAATCGAATCGGAAAAGTTACAAGTCGTACTATTTTCGAACAATTACTACTGACTAATTTATGGAATCTCCAGTTTTCTCAAAAAATAAAAAATAAAAAAATCATGGAATCTCCAGGAGAACAAGTAGTTGTGGGAAGAAGTGTTAGGATGTTTCATTTCGAAGCAAGAGGACAAAAAATTACATACGGTTGCCAGGAGAAGAAGAAATGTACTAGTAAATCCCCATATCAGATTCTTTTTTTTTTTTTTAAGATTCGTCAAAAGTCAACTCTACCCGTTGTCTCTGCCTTACAACTAAATTAATAGTCAGTACCACTCCTACTTAGTACATGCGGCCAAATATGCATAATAGTACAACACTTCTACTACACTAACATCTCTCAAAACACTCGAATTCAGTACTAGCCAAATATTTTGATTTTCCCACTTATGAACTGCATGTCAAGTGAAAGATTCACGATTCCCGTAAATAGAGAAGAACCGCTTAAAGCGTTATAATCATTTCACTGCATAAATTCAACGAACACACTAACATACTATCACTGGTTGTACTCATAATTTGTTTCTTACAGCATTCACCTTATAATCTATCTGTATGGGGCAAGCATTACTACTTAACATTCTGATTAAGCTTTAATCCATGATTTTAATTAAACTGAGGGGCTGTGGAATGAGTATATATGTGTGTGTGTGCATGTGTTCATTAATGCAATGGTTACATTAAATGATGTGAGAGAAAAAAAGGCAAAGAAGGGCAGATTTGAAATTTCAACAAGAGAATTAATTATTAATGAACTTTTGAAATTTGAAAACCGTGAAAAACGCAAATAAAACAACATATACCGCGATTATCGCCGTTGGAGTATATTTAAGATTTTTCACAAATTCAAAGATTTTCCCAAGATGTTCCCCGCACGTGTGTACTTTACGAGAAAGCCCCTATTAGCTCCAGCTGTTTCATTTCCGCCCTTACCGCTGTGAAAATTCACTATACCGTCATCGAACTTCGATAAAACCCCCTCCTCATTAATTCTTCTTCTTCTTCTTCTCCTTAATTAATAAACTAAGTTCAAATTTTCAAAATTTCAAATTTTGTAACTTGCGTTGTAGCATTAATGATCTCCTGCTTGTAAATTTTTTTTTTTAAAAAAATATGATGAAGTTTGAAATATTATTTAAAAAATATAACGTTCAAAACCCCTAAAAAAAATATGAACTGAGACCAAGAAAAATGATGATCAACAATGCCAATTTCATGATCTCAATCAACTAAACAATGCTAGTACTACTACAATTATCAAGTCATTGACTTGCATTACCTAATCTCTTTGGTAGTTGTAAACGATCAATCAATTCTATGAGCAATGCTACAATTTGTCCTTTCTTAAAAAAAGAAAATAAATTTTTTAGGTGTGACAAATTAAGAAAGATAGTGACAATTGGTGGTGATTTAACCAAGATCAAGAAAGCTCAACAAACACATAAATTTATAGAATTCAAGTAACATAGAAATGGAAATGGCTTTACCTTTAAGTTAGTAGAGGTGGCGTTGATAGTATCACTGACGGCGGTGGTGGTGGTGGTGGGGGTTGCCTCACTGGAATCATCATCTCCGCCGGGTAATACGCCGACGCCTCCGCTGCTGCTGATCACTTTGTCTCTTTCCAAAACGATGTCGTCTTCTTCTTCGAGAGCCTTATTTGAAATCTCAACAGTAGAATTACCAGGAGTAGAAATTGGACTAGTGTTATTATTATTATTAACACCGCTACAAATATCGGATGAGGCAGTAAATTCACTGTCCGACCAGCTGTTACTTTTACTTTTACAGTTACTATCACTCGTCGAGCAGCTGGAATCCCCTGAGACTGGACTGACAACGAATTCCGGCGGAGGCTGTGGAGACGGAGGCGAATGAGCAATAGGATTCTCCACCCGGAGAATCGCCGGTGGAGGTGGCGGTGGGATTTCTTTCCGGTCGGATTTCTTCCAGAAGCTCCGTTTAAGAAGCTTCCGGGACAGACTTCTGGGTAACAGAGTGAATTTGAGCTTGTTGTTGGAGGACTTAAAGGTATTGATAACGGCGGCGGAAGCCCTCTGGAAAGCTGACGGCGGCGGCTTTAAAGGGCTCTTTTGGGGTGGCTTTTTGATGTATCTGGGCGGCTTATTTTTAAGGTCAACTTCCAGAAGGAATCGAACAGAGGTACAACATTGTCGACGTGGGTATGATCGAAAGCCACTAGATGAACACGAGCTCAAATCATCGAGGAGATAATCTTTGAGTAACTGAGGCTTTCTGATTAAAACTGGCTTATTAGCTAAACTCAACTCCATTTGTGCAAAAAAATTGAAATGGCCGAGATTAATTTCTAAGCAGATAAGGAAAAGCAGCTTTATAGGAATAGGATGATGGAGAATTGTCGAAAACAGGGGTACTAATGATTAAAGACAAGACAGAAAAGCTGAAAGCTGTTAGAAGATCAGAAAAGTGTTGAAGCAGAGCTTTAAAGCTGAAATGCTGAATGCAGAGATGGAGTAATGGCTGGTTTGGCTGGTTTCAGGCCCCATTATAGCAAAACAAGAAGCTTGATTTGGTTAGAAAGTGTACTATATATGGCATTTATATATATATAGCAAAAGTGGTGCCAATGTGGTAGGGTGTTGGATTTTGCTGAAGAATTGAAGGTGATAGGTAATTTCTTCTAGTGAGAAAAAAAAAGAGAGTGAAGATCTCAAGGTGGAATGAGAAAATTCTAAAGAATCGAATGGAAGAGGAATTAGGTTTGATCGGCAATTTATCTGAGCAAAAAGATGGAAGAGGAATGGAAGAAGAAGGTTAGATGCTTCTTTGATTAGTGTGATTGATGAAAGGGGGATTATTTGAATCTCAAGTTTTGTTTTGAGTTTGATTAGTTTAATATTTGATTTAAATGCTGTCTTCTATTGGGAAAATTAATAGTATTTGATTTAAGTTCCTGTGAGATTTGATTTAGGATTAGTGGAGTTTTTTGTTTGTGTTTTTGGAAATAGGAAATCTCGTCACCTAGAGACAGTTAGACTTACTAGTGTGACTGTGTGACCTTAGTTGACCTTCTTTTAATTTTTAAAAGGAAAAGATAATTAAAAAATCATGCCAAAGCTGCTACACAGATCCCTTAACCACGCGCTCCTATGGCTATCTTGCTGTTGCCACGTACCTGAAGCTTTCTTTGTTTTTTTTAAGTTGGTCTTTTCATATTTAAATAACTAAATGCTTGTCCAGGCGAATACCCGGAGTGTCGCCTGTATTTTTAAATCAATTAAATAAAAAATATGAATCATTCTTAAAAGAATAAAAGAAAATTAAAAAAATAAAAAATCGATTGAAATGACAGTAAGTAAGTTATTACACATAAATCTATGCCCAGATTTACAACATTTAATTTACAACAATTAACTTATGCCCATGTTTACATAAATCATAAACCAATATCTATAACAGAACAATAAAAAAAAAATCATCCTTAAAAAATCAAATTTTTTTAATGACAGCTTATTTTTTCTCGGTTGTAGAAAGAGATGGATTGATAATTGATGTTAGATTTTAAGTAATTGATTTAAAGGCCCGGATGTGAGAGAGGAGCGGAGTGGAAGAGATCCTTTGAAATTGGGGATTGGAAAGACATTACTGGTGTTTACTTGATTTAAGGGGATTTCCTTACATTTGATTTTATCAACTAATTATTGTTGTTTTAAGGAATTAGTATATACCTATAATTAAGAGATTTTTATGTAGCTATAATTAAGAAATTTATGTATTTATCTATTCTATCTTTTTTTTCTGATTAGTTAGAGTGTCACGTGTCAAAAATGATTTTGTACTGAAAATGATTTTTGGCGGGAAAATTTTCATTGTGGTGCTGACACATGTCCTTTTTGTTTGCTGCTTTAATTAAGTACTATAGATAATAACTATCTCATACTACCATACCGTTTTACATTTTCAATACACTTTTTTACATTTTCAATACAAAAAATACATAAAAATACACACTAAAAAACAAAACAAACATACCCGAAATTTTTCCTCAAGCAGATTGAGATGCTGCACTAACTACTAGACTGTAATCTCAACTCAATATAGGAGATGGTCTTTAACTATGATGTTGCATCGGAGTAAATAGTTCTACTAGGAAGAAATGTTGTGATTCGATTTTAAATTTTTCCGCTTAGAAATTATTTATTGAGAATGAAGTTGAAAAATTAATAACTAATTTGTTATGGAATCTTAAAAAACTATAGATTGAGTAATCGGAAACTGAAGACCAAACTTTTTCTCTTAGTTTTCTCTCCCTCTCTTTCTCTTTAAAAAAAACTCTCTCAAAACTTTTCCCTTTTTTCCCTAATCCTCCATTAATCGTAAATGGACGAGCTCATAAATTTCTAATTTTCTTTTTTTCTTTTGCTATTTGGTGTGCTCTTACTTTATGGAAGTTTTTACTCTCCCATTATTAGTGGGTTTTTGCTCTTCATTTATAGAAGTCCGGAGGTCTTATTGAGACTTTCGATCCCTTTGTTGGGGTTGTTTATTTTTCTTTTTATGTGTTGTTTGGTAGTTTTTAACAGATTTAAGATTTAAGGCCAATTGAAGAAGACAATAATGAGCATACGGTTTAAAGAGTAGCAAATGAAGGAATACTTTAGATTGGAGACTTCTAGACATTATAGATCTGAGTTTCAGAGCCATATCTGCAATTGTAGTCTTATTAGACTATAGTTGAAGTTCATTTGTTAGAATTTTGGTTCACTTTACATTTTTTTCTTGTGCTATATCCTTATTGTATTCAGTGATGTTTGTTCAATCTTGCCAGATTAGCTTAGCCTAGCCCTGTACACAAAATTAAGTTTATCTCTTGTTACGTGGTTAGGTATAGCGTGAAGGGTGAATTTTTTTAGTTCAACCATAGGTTATTGTATTCTCAACTCTTGTGATTGATTATCTTTGATTTTATTTTACAAAATGATTATCGCTTTTGAAAAAAAAAAAGAAAAGAGTAATCGGAAACGCCTTTACATTTATTTGATATGTCAAAGTCTTTCAAACAATAAAATGAAATATTAAGAAAGTGGATCCATTTGTCCACCTTAACCTTTTAAGTTTAAGGTGCGAATTTATACTTGAGAAATTCCATCTACTATCACATGCCTTCGCCTTGAAAGAAACATCAGTGTTAACACTAACTCATCCATTCACTGCCAGATTCGATCCAACGTCTGTGTTTTGTCTCACTTTCCTTACTGTTCCAAGCTGAAGTTAACTACCTAAACAAAATTCTTTAGTTCGTCCGATGCTCCGTTTCTACTAGTCTCCAGTCCCATACCTTACCGTTACATGTAATTCCTATGTGATAATTTAGCCTAATGTTCTATTAGGGTGAATCAATATTGTCAGAAATTCCGATCCGGAAGATAAGACCCAAAAAATTCTAATAGTGAGCCCAATAAGTAAGTAGGAAACCCACCTCAATTTAAAACCTCAAGATTATAGATTTTGAGACTAACTTACTTATTAACTACTCTTTATTGCTCCTAGATATCAATGTGGGACAATTAACCTACTTATGACCTCAACAATCTCCCCCGTCACGGGTAACTCATCGCATCAAATCCCAATTTATTTTTACATTGTAATCGCACCAAGCCCGCCTATACTTCAAGTCGGTAAAGCACAACTTCTGGAGTACCGAATTCCATGGGTCAACCCAGGTGCAGAACTCCCAAAAGTTCAGATAGCCTACACCATGCCCATTAACTTTCGGCTCTAATACCACTTGTCAAGAATTCTGACCCAGGGAACAAGGCCCAAGAAGTTCCAATAGTAAACTCAATAAGTAGAAATCCCACCTCAATCTAAAACTTCAAGGTTATAAGTTGTGGGACCAATTTATTTATTAACTGCTCTTTATTACTCTTAGATACCGATGTGGGACAATTAACCTATTCTTGACCTCAACAAATGTTTTGAAAAAATTCTAATAATCCAATTAATTATTAAGAAAATTAGACTATTATATCTTTGATTATATCTGTCCTGAAAAAAATAGTAATCCACATTGAGTTTATAAATTTGTACTAATTTTAATACAAATTTAAAAATTCAATGAACTGTTTTTTTTAAGATAGAAGAGGTAACATTTGCTTGGTTTTAATCCCATAGTGTCATGTATATCGATAAAGTGGAGAAATTAACCCTGATATGGATGACAAAGTGATTGAAGGAAATAACCCTTCTCACGAATCTTGATTTATATGTGTTGGGTTGTAGACAGTGAATTTGTCCCTACATGAGGATCAGATTGGGGTTTGCACAAAGGTTTGGGATGAAAATATCTGATCTCATTAGGGGTTTTGAATATTAATTTGTCAGTCAGTGAAGATTATTATTATTACCTCATTTGAAAATATAACTTCACATACTATGTCAAAATGTAAGTTTACTAAGTGTTACTCTCTCCATTTCAAAATAGATGTCATTAGAAGAAAACTTTTTTTTTTTTCAAAATACATGTCGATTTTTTATATCGAGGCATGTTTTGCCATTTTTTTTTTTACATTGCCCTTATAAGAGATTTGTAATTGTGTTCAAAGTAAAAGTGTATTAGAACTAAATAATACTCTCTCCATTTCAAAATGTAGGTCACGCTAGACTCTACACGTAAACTAAAGAGACAATCATTTACCCCCTCCATTTCGAATTGTAGATCGTTTTAGGTTTAGAGAGATTTTTCAAAATGTAGGTCGTTTTACAAATTGTAGGCAAATTAATGACATTTTTCCAACTTTACCCTCCATAAATGATGCTATTATATTTTTATTTAGTCTTATTTATAGTTTTAATGTAATTAATAAGGGGTAAAATATATATTTAACACTTAAATTAATTATTAGATGATTGTCTCCTTAATTTGCGTGCAGAGTCTAAAAAGACTTAATGGAGGAGTAATAATTAATTTGTGTATTAAATTTCTATTTTATCCATCATTAATTATTTTCGAATTATAACCAATACTAGATAAAAAGTGGTTAGCATTATTTATTGGGGATAAAGTTGAAAAGTTAGTCTTTAATTTGCCTTGAAATCCTAAAACGACCTACATTTTGAAATATTTCTCCAAACCTAAAACGATCTACATTTTGAAATGGAAGAGTATTAAAATAGAATTGCATTAAGAGTAAATGAGGGTAATTTAGTATTTTAACAAAGAAAAAAAAAACATTATAAATGGGTTCAAACTTCAAAGAGAGCATAGTGTTATCTCAGTTCTCAGATGTTTACAACACTAACTCTAATGACGATGCCTAAGGAATCATGTACTCCCTCCATTTCAAAATACGTGTCGTTTTAGTAAAATAAATATTTTTTCGGATTCTAATGCATTTTTGGTCAAAAATTTCCAAACATACCATCGAAATAAATAATATTATTAATGAGCATTTATTTAACGAGGTTGGTTGATGATATTCTAGCAATTTAACTATCATATTTAATGTTTTCTTAAACTGTGTACAAACTCTAGAACGACACTTATTTTGGAACTGAGGAGTACAATTCACATCTTTGAAACAGAGGTGCAATATCTTAAGCCACGCTGATATGGAGTGTAATTTTGCAGGGAGTGTAATTTTATAGTCGATTTTTTTTTTTTTATCATTGACCAAATAAAATTAGATTTTTTACGTTTGGATTCGTCACCATCAGATGCAATAGGATGGCGTAGCCATGATATAGTAGAGATAGTAATAAGTATTATAAACTCGAAACTATAAAAATCCCATTTTTTTACCCCCCAAAAAAAGGTGCAGTATCTTAAGTTAGCACTAATCATGGATTTTTTATTTGATTTTTTCCCCTTTATTTTTTTTTCCTGTCTCGTCTAAATAGTTTATTTTGCTAAGCTAAAAAATAAAAATACAATATTAGAATGGGTAGGAATGAGCGTTTTCTTTTTATTTTATTTTGGTGAATCACACTCCTGATCTACGAGGACCGCTCATCAATAACTCAATTCAAAAAAAGAAACATAAACAACACCAATTGTGAAAAAAGTTAACATAAACAATATCAATTGTGAAAAAGCTCACTTTTTCAGTATATCATAAATTAAAAATACGAGTAGAAGAGGTGTACAACTGCTGCACTGAGACAAACAGAACGTAGGTTCGCGGAACAAAATTAAAACAAGATTCCGCAGCACCTTTGACCATATAAAATATACCAGCAGTACTAAAACTATTCAAAGATGCAGTTTGACTTGGTGTTGTTCTACTTGATTCACACATAATCCAAACTATCTTTTCTTAGACTTCTACAAGGAAGCATATCAAAACGGTCAAATTTCTATTGTACCAAAAAATAAAAATAAAAAGGCCAAAATTAACACATTAAATCATGAGGACAACCTAAACAAGTACTACTTCAAGTTTTCTACCTATATCTAAAATGAATAACTCCAAAGTGACACTTGGGCATCACTTTCCATGTAATCATCATCATAACCAAAGCAATCTTCTAAACAATAAGTATGATGAGGTGGAGATAGCATAGGCCCTTCTGCCATAACATTGACCATATCAAACTGAGTTTCATCATCATAAGCAAATACTTGATTTCGATCGTTGTTCACCGCAGTCTGGATTGAATTATCATCTCTGATATCAATTCCGACATTACTAGTAACCTCGCTAGTACTGAAGGAGGCGTGAGTTAAACTCGCGCCTTCTTCTTCTTGATCGCCCGAGGTCTGATCATCACTGAGAGAAGCACTTATGCCACTCCCATTGCTTAAAGAAGCCCGATCGACATTGCCCGGGCTAAACAATTGAGCTCCTTCAAAGGCCGCCTTCCTGATATCCTTGGCGTCTTTGGTTGCCGGAACCGGCAACCTCCATACGGAGTCGGCGAAGTTTAAACAAGCTAAATTCCCCCTGAATGCTAAAGCAGCGACGTCGTAAGCTCGAGCCGCCATTTCAGGAGTGGGATAAGTTCCTAACCAAATCCTCTTTTGCTTGTTGGGTTCCCGGAGCTCGCAAACCCATTTGTTTGAATTCCACCGCCGTCTTCTTACTCCACGGTAAACCGGGTGCCTCGTTTCCTTGAACTTCTTCCTCCCGGCCCGCTTCTTCGGCCGGCTGGACGACAAAATGATTTCTTCATCCGAATTGTTGACAACAATAATGCCTGTTTGATGATGATCGGAACAATATGAACTTGATGAATCCATTTTTATTTTGGGATGTAATGAATGAGAATTTTAATAAATTTTTGGTTTTTGGATAAGGGTATTTGGTTTGCTGATGATCAATGGAGAAGAATTTGCGGCTGCATGGAAATGGAACTACGGAAGTGGTTTTATAGTTTGTGAAGTTTGATTATTATTTTATTAAGAGGGAAGCTTAGTTCAGGTATATTAAAACGTGCCTACGATATTGACACGAACACGTACTTTTTAATATATTAATGACAGGCTGGAAAAAGTTATGTTCAGATTGGTGACTTCATAGCTTAGCAGTCAATTTCACTTGATGTAGTGATGTGGCATCTATTTCCTGGCCCAATTCTTTTCCCCTTTTTTCCTTTAATTTTCCTTTTTTTTTGGGGGGGGCCTTGTCTTAATAACAAGAAAGATGTCATCAGTTCCATCATTCCATGATTGGAAATTTTTGTTTTCATAGAATTTTTCATTGCTTTTTTTTTTTGGTTTTTTTTTGGCAATGTAAAATGCATAAGTAGAGCAATTTGTTAGATTTTTTTTTTCATTTATGTTAAAGATAAAAATGTGAGTATTATGGGGAAAAAAAGTGCCGTTTAGTGGCCGACTATTATGAAAGGAGTGTACCTAGATCGATGAATATTAAAACATAGTCTTTTATATATATATAAAAATAAAATTAGTTGTCTACAACGAAAATGGAACAATCAACCTTTCTGTATTAACCATTCTCTATCCTAATCCCTTAAATCCTAATCCCTTAAGCACCCCGTCAACTCTCCCACCCCTTAAAACATAGTCTTAGTTGAAACAATTTCCTAACTACAAACCATTAATTTTATCATTTGCTTCTCCAGTTTCTAAATGATTGTTTGATTCATGTTTATAATTTTTAAGGACTCATTAAAGTACACAAATTTTTTGGTTGATGATACTTCATTACTCTTCTTGTTCTAAAAATATCATCCAAGTCTTAGTTATACGAGTAAAAGTTTCACAATATAAACTCTTTATTATCTGAAAATCTGAGTCTAGTTAATCTTTTAGGACGGAATGAGTAAATTGATTGAAAAAACAAAAACAAACAAAAAAAAAAAAGAAAAAGAAAAGGAGGGCTCGCTGGAAATAGAATTCAGAACCTTAAATCTTAAGACTGTCATATTAGTAATTAGGTGAAATTGACGACTGCTGTGTCTTAAGCAAGCTGGGCTCGTACGTGTGGGTGTGGCATTGAAACTTGAATGTCTAATGCCTTACTGGGCTGAATGCGACTGTGCTAGATTTTAAGGAGACCACTTTTTGGGATACAGAGAATTTGTTGTAGTTTCTGGAGTGGGGGGCACACGGGTGCAACACACTTACGGACCACCGGGACGAGGAGAAACGATCCAGCTTGCCTCATGGATAAGTGTTTAGCCAGAGTTACTTTTTTTGCTTTTGTCATTTTTTTCTTTAATCACCTTTCATTTTCTTGACTGAAAAGAGATTCAATTAATTCGTTGGAGAAACCGTCCAACATGGAAAAAGATTGCAAAAGGGAGAATTATGTCTTTATATATTTCTCAAAGCCGATTTTACATTTTTCAACTTGTTCTAAATTGCTAGTAAAAAGTACTACCCTCCATCCCAAAAAAATAATCCACATTGAGTTTTCATTTTTGTACTATTTTTAGTACAAATTTCAAAGATAAACAAAGGAAAGAACTGTTGCATATATGAATCTTATAATCATCATCGTGCCGGGAGCTATAAAGAGACTGTTTGTTTGATCGACAACTTAATTGTCGGTTAAAATTATAGGATTGGTGACAACTAAATTAGAAGAAAATGGTATATCTATTATTATTATTATTATTATTATTTATAATATATTAATAGAGAAACCAGTGAAAGAAACAAAAGATGATTTTTACACTGCCACGTAAGACAAAATCCTACGTGGCAATTTCTCAAAAATTAGTTTTAAAAAAGTTTTACAATTTATCACAATTGTCCCTGTATGATGGTGTACATATCATGAACACCATCAATAAAATTAATTATTAATTGTAAAAAAGTCCAAACAAGTTAATAGCTTTTCGTAAAATATGTGATCAAATTAATGCATTGAATTTTAAAAGTTCAAAACTTATACTGGAAATTAATGTGCAAATCAAAAGTTTCTCAAATTAAGCTAATAATTAATGCATTGGTAATATCCTAATCACCATAAGTATCTAAATTAATCTATATAATAATTGACCGGATTAATAATGGCCACAATTTGGTTCAATGGGTAAACTTCTATTTTAATTCAACTTTTAATGTTTAATTAATATTTCTTCATTGCACGAACAAAAAATCAAATCACGACCATATTCGTTATTCATTCAAATCGATTCATAAAAAAAAAGATATCACTAACTTAATATATATATATATATAAACGAAATCACAGCCAAATTTAAAAAAGAAAAGAAATATATACATATTTTTATTATGTCTAAAATATATACATATTTGGATTTTTTTTCATATTATACGTCTAACCAAAGAATATGTACATAGCTTTTGTTATTTTGTTATTTTATATACATGAGTCATCAGATAAATTTAACTATCCCGCGCGTTGCACGGGCGTACACCTAGTATACAGTGATGGAAAGGTATAACAACACCGTGGTAAACGGCACGTCCGCTCACCAGACTAACCAAAAAGAAAACCAACATTTTTTTGAGTTTGACCAATAAAATCCTACTACTAAACTCAACTATTTATTTACGCATATACAACACTCTTTGACTGGCCCTTTTATATATACTTTTTGCCAAAGAATCACAACTCTCTCTCTCTCTCTCTCTTTTTAGTTTTTTAGTACTTTTTAGATATCCAGAAGAATGCTGCCTCACTACTAACGTCACATACTCCCAAATTCTACAAACTAAAAATTACAAGTAGTATGATCTAAGTAACCTTTAATTTCCCAAGCTACTTCATCAGTGATGAATCATCCAAATCCGAATGATCTCTAAAATGAATAATTCCAAAGTGACACTTGATCAGCATCAGTACTTTCCATGCCATCATCATCATCATCATCATCAAAAGTAGTACTAATACCATATTGTGAAAAATGGGTATGAGGTGGAGATAACAGTGGCCCTTTTACCATGTCTATCAGAGCTTCCTCATAGCCGAAATCGCGTGTATTATGAGCTTCATTATCCTTTCCGACGCCGCCGATTTCTCTACTGGTAACCTCATTAGCATTAGAGGTGGCGCGAGTTAAATCACACGAGCCTTCTTCTTCTTCTTCTTCTTCTTGATCACCGGAGGTTTGATCATCAGTACTAAAACTAGCACTTCTTCCACTCCCACCGCTTAAAGAAACCTGATCATCCGCCGGTTTAAACAACTGGGCTCCTTCAAACGCCGCCTTCCGGATATCCTTGGTGTCTTTAGAAGCCGGAACCGGCAACCTCCGAACGGAGTCGGCGAAGTTCAAACAGGATAAATTATAAGCTCGGGCAGCAACATCGTAAGCTCGGGCAGCCATTTCAGGAGTCGGGTAAGTTCCTAACCAGATCCTCGTCTGACTGTTGGGTTCCCGGACCTCGCAGACCCATTTGTTGGAATTCCACCGCCGCCTTCTTACTCCCCGGTAAACCGGATGCCTCGTTTCCTTGAACTTCTTCCTTCCGGCACGCTTCTTCGGCCGGCTCGACGACAAGATGATTAATTCTTCATCCGAATTGTTAATAGCAGTGCCTCTTTGATGATGATGATCGAAATATGAGCTTGATGAATCCATTTTCTTTGAGATGTTACAAAAAGGTCGGTTAAGAAATTAAGATGAATTTTGATTTCTGGATTTATATTTGTTTGTGCTGGTTTGCTAGGGATTTTTATGCGGCTGCGTGGAATGGAATGGCGGGAGAAGTGGTTTTTATAGTTTGCGGCTTTGTTTGTGTTGTGGGCGAAGTTGAAAAAAACGTGCTTCAATTTTAATACCTGATGACAGAGAGGGGACAGGCTGGCAAAGTTGTGTTCAAATTGGCTGACTTCAGGCAGTGACGTTGTAAAATGACGTGGTAAAGTTGTGTTCCATAATTAGAACTAGATGCTTGTCCCGGCAGCGGATGCTCGGGTGATCTCTTAGAATTTATATCTGTAATAAAATGTATTGCTGGTTGATATAAGTCCTATAATAACTTACTCTGGGGAATTTATATTTGTAATAAAATGTATTGCTGGTTGATATAAGTCTTATAATAACTTGTCCCGGGAAAAATGCCCACAGAAGGCTTACTTAACAAATTGATATTAATTAAAAAAATATACGTCCTGCTTAACAAATTAATATTAATTAAAAAATAATATGTCATAACAAAAAGTAAATACGGAAATAAATCACATATATTTTATCATAACTAAATAGTGATAAAGATTAAAAACAATTATTCTCAATAACCTGGACGGCTGCCTATTGTCTTTTAGCATTATATCTCGTTACTTCATTAAGCTAAATTTTCTTTTAGCAAAATAATAGTACTGACAACATAATGAAAAAGTTAATTTACGCATTCCTGAGGGAGAATTACTCCTTTTCATTAGGTATATTATTCTTATGAAAATGCCTAAAAAAATGAGACATTTGAAATATTAGTCTTTACTTTTTAATATGAATATGCAATTTACATTAGTCATTGCAAGGACTGAATAAAACTCTCTACATCACATCCAATTATCATAGTAATTAACTAAGAAAATTCATCCCTGCACAAAAGTAAGATGATTTATTTTGCTTCTAATATTTTGTATAGCGAGGCTTCCCCATTTCCCCCTCTTTGTTTTCCTTTTTGAACTATCATATGCATATTTTTTGAGCAACTGGTCCAGATTTCATGCAGCCAATATATACCCTTGTCTTCCTCCTTCGCCTCACTAATGTCTCCCCAATGTTGCTGCAACAAATTGAAGAAAGGACAGAAATATGTCAATGCACAACATAATGTTTAAGGAGAACCAAGCATTTCTAGTGACAAAATAAGAGATTGCAAGTAATTAAATTCCATGTTAGACTCTCTGTATTCTTTTAATTTGGGGACCTCTATGGATATAAAACCCTATGTCAACAAATTTTCTTCAATAATACAACATTATGCAAGGAGTTCATGAACACATCCATAGTTGGAGCTAAATCACTTCACTCATCCTACTGGCTCTAGGTTGGAGACTAAGCCATCAGAAATGATACTTCTAGGGAATGATCACAAAATTATCTTCATTTCATTTAGCAAAAGGTTGTGTTGCCCTAGTAGTTACCAATGGATTCTGCAAATAGTGTTAAGCAATCAGGTTCACAAAGAATACGAAGATCTCCATCTAGAGATACAATAGCTATAACAATCATAAATTTAAGAAAAATTCTGCAAACATCAATGAAATAAAGTTAAATCATGGAAAAACCGAAGCTCATGATTCAAAGAAAGTACAACATTACACCATGCCAATTTATCAAAACAAACTGTGTTGCTGCTGAATCATGCCGAAAACATATCACTAAGATCAAACTTCAACTATAAATTTACATTCTCACTCCTCTTATAAAGAGTATACCACGAACCACGTAGCAATTTTTCATCTAGCATCACGTTTCTCATATAACCACCCAAGCTTGGCTATTGATGTTTTTTTGAACTCTTGATTACGACTTAGAAAAGAGAAGTACTTGATTTGGACTCACAAGATATACCAGAAGCCACTTAAGGCAAACCATCAGCCATACATCTATACGACTACACGTCCATTAGTTGGAAGGGAACAACAGGATGATTAAAATCATGAAATTAACCTAATTTAAAATCATGAAACCCCTGCTATTAAAGCTCAGATAAATGCAAACGATCATTCTTTCAATGCAGGAAACAACAGGCAGATTAATGCACCTACTTTGACTCATGGCATTAGGTACAGTTGCCAGTCATCAGAGATGAATCTGATCCAGCAAAACATGACTAAGCTTGAAGAGGTGAGGGAATCTATAATGGTGAATGGAAAACAAATGATCTAGTCTGCTCATTTTGATGAGTTTGCAGGTGTCAGCGTACCACTCTGTCTTAGTTCTATTGAGCATATTCATCCTGATGCAAGGTTTTTAGATTTTTGATCAAAACCTATATGTATAAGAAATCTGATTCACTCAATAAATCAAACATGACGCCAGAAGCTTTCACCAGTAAAACATCCAAGTGGTAGTATAAGTATACTAAATCGAATGGAGATGTGCAGCTATCAAAAAAATTGACCTCGAGGTCTTTGAGATTTTAAAAAATCGCCAAACACAGTTTTTGTGGATTGCTTTGTTTCAAATGAATTATGTGTGTTTTGCAAAAGAGAGTATAACCTGTTCACAAATGAATTATAAGTATACTAGATGCGAAATAACTTCTAATCCACTCATTCAATCCTCTCAAAGGATTGGATGTCTCATCAAACGCTGCATCCCACACACATAATCAAAGTTAAAAATATTTCTAAATATTCATGAAAACAACAGTATGCCTGATCAATTAACAAATTATTGTAGCTAAAAATAAAACATTCACCAGAAATCCTTGAGCAAACAACATTGTCCTCCCGTTTCACAGTTTTACACCTATTGGAAAAGGATGTCTACAACTACATGATCGAATCCCTCTGCTCATAAAAAACAATTACGACGAACACACCAAGGAATAACATAAACAGAATCTCGCACCTATTCTTCAATAAATTTACCCATGGAAACATCAACTTCAATAAGATTTTACTGTTATGAATTGCATGAATAAACAAAATCAACAACTAATCTAAACTATCTAAAACAACATAGCAACAAAGTGATCACCAGGTACATGTTTATTCCAATCCGAAAAGATACCAAAAGCTCCCACATTCTGCACTAATTATGCGAACGAAATAACCTCAAAATAGTATCAAAACCCAATAACAGAATGAAAACAAAAAAATAAGTATCGACCGCAGAACACAGACCGACTCTCGATTAGATATAGTATATCGGTCCGAGAATGACACTCATTTCTGAATCTCTCTAATCATTTGTATTTTTTCAAAAAGAAATATAACTGTAGCAGCTAATTTTCAGTATAAAAGAAACAAAAATAATTCAAGGGGTATTGAAATTCAATGATGAGGAGAATTTTGGCTCAAGATTGTTGAATTTGATGCATAATCGATGGAAATCAGATCATCGACGGCGTCGGTAACAGAAAGGTAATGGCGGCTGAAGTTCAGTGAATAAAATAAATGTTATGGCGAAAAGGGTATAAACACAACAAACCAGCAGAAACGATTCCCAAGAAAAAACTCCTTTCCTACTACCAATAAATAAGACAACCAAACAAGTAAAATAATTCAAGAACTGATAAAATAAAGGAGACACACGAATTTACGTGGAAACCCAAATCGGGAAAAATCACGAGACTGTAACAACAGTCAAATCTCCACTATCACAATAATGGGAAACAATCTTCACCAACCAGTGGATACACAGGACTTCACCCAAAGGTGGATTACAATAATACTCTTCCACATACACCTATCAGAAAGTAGGATTGGGAGGATCTCACCAAAAGAGAGTTAAACAGAAAACTAAACCCTAGCTTTCTTTCTTTTTCTCTCGCACAAAACCCTTGCGCGGTTGCCCTAATTTTTCTTCTCTCTCGGCTGAAAAACATGCACAAATTGTGCACAAAGCCTTGCTTTTATAGGCATCAAAAATAAAACCCAAAACCCAATAGAAGTGGGTTTTCTTTTCTTGGTCAAGCACCCCAATACCAAAGCCAAATTTGGCTTGGTTTTATTTGTTTCCTTGTTGGCCCAATTGAGGGGAACACCGGGCCTAACAATCTCCCCCTTCATCTCAATTGGGGGGTAAAACCAAACCTGCTTTCAGCCTACAAAACAGGAGCTTGTCTCTACTCACAGTCTTCGTCAACATATCGGTACCGTTATCATCCGTATGAATCTTCTCAAGAAACAACGCCTTGGACTCCAACACATCCCGAATCCAATGATATCTCACATCAATATGTTTAGACTGCGAATGGAATGTGGAATGTTTCACCAAGTGAATAGCGCTTTGGCTATCACAATACACCACATACCTCTCTTGCTTCATGCCAAGCTCTTGTAGAAACTTCTGCAACCAAAGTGCTTCCTTACAAGATTCAGTAGCTACGATAAACTCTGTCTCTGTAGTAGACAAAGCAACACACTTCTGCAATCTGCTCTGCCATGAAACTGCTCCCCCTCCATAAATCATCAAGTATCCAGAAGTAGACTTCCGACCATCAAGATCACTCGCCATGTCAACATCTGTATATCCATCTAACATGGTCTTCCCATTGCCAAAGCAAAGACTCAATCTGGAAGTACCCATAAGATACCTGAGAATCCATTTCACAGCATTTCAATGCCCCTTACTAGGATTGGAGAGAAACCGACTAACAACACCAACTGCCTGAGCTATGTCTGGCCTTGTGCAAACCATCGCATACATCAGGCTGCCAACTGCCGAATCATAAGGAACCTTTTTCATCTCTTCCTTATCTTTCTCACTTTTAGGACACTGTGTTTTACTTAGCTTAAAATGCCCCGCAAGTGGAGTCGAAAATCCTTAGCACCGCTCATGTTAAACCTATCAAGAACCTTCTCGATATACTTCTCTTGATATACCCAAAGCTTCCCATTCTGTCTGTCACGAGAAATCTTCATCCTAAGGATCTGTCTAGCCGGACCCAAATCCTTCATCGCAAAAGATTTATTCAACTCCTTTTTTAACCTGGCAATCTTTGCAGTATCATGACCAACAATCAACATGTCATCGACATAAAGCAAAAGAATTATAAAATCACCATCAGAGAATTTCTTCACAAACACACAGTAATAAGCTGTAGTCCTTTGGTATCCCTGCCCTATCATAAAAGCATCAAACTTCTTGTACCACTACCTCGGATCTTGCTTCAACCCATATAAGCTTTTGTTGAGACGACATACAAGCTTTTCTTTTCCCTTCTCCTGGAACCCATCTGGTTGCTCCATGTAAATCTCTTCTTCTAAATCACCATGCAAGAAGGCTGTCTTCACATCAAGCTGTTCAATCTCAAGATTCAAACTGGCCACTATCCCAAGCACCACTCAGATCGAAGACATCTTTACAACAGGAGAGAATATCTC